GGAGAAGTGATACATTTGTAATTATGGGACCCACCTTTATATCTACCTCCCCATCCACACACAGGCGTACCGTTGCTGACTCCAATCAGGAAAATAACTTTCCTCTTATTCCTGCTAGCCCTGCCAAGCCACCGTGGCTTAGGAGGAATGAGCCGATTCTCTCCTTGCACGTGCCTCGTCAGCCAAATTGTGTTATAAAGCTTCACTGAATTACATCCAGGCAAACCCACTGTTTGCCACAGAGCATCCGTTACGGCTTTGCTTGACCTATAAAACCTTTGCCACCAGGAGCTATGTATGAAGAAAGCCAGATGTGAAGTGGATTTGACAGGGCTCTCGGCTTGCAAACCCTGTCTTGTCTTTTGCAAGGCAGTTTTTTCTTTTTTTCCCTTAAAAGAAGAGCAGTAGGACATAGGGTCCTGGCAATTGATCTCTCTATAGTACATAGCAGGTGCTGTCTGCTCTACTTACCCCTCCTACCCTCCCCTTACTCTGCTAGAGCTAAAACCAGCAGCTGTGATAACAGCATCTGAAAGATTGTTGTTAACCCAAGAAATATCAACTGTGAGATGCCTCCTTGTAGGTCACTCTGCAAAGAAAAGTGATCAGCACCTTTCCCAATAAACAAGCACTTAATTGTTCCTGTTACTCTGTAGTTTTTGTAGGGGTTAGCATATGGCTCTGGAGGTTCAGAATCGCTTCTCACTTATGTGGATGGTATGTAAAGAGGGAGGGAAGATTTGCTCTATAATGTGGGGTTCAGTAAGGGAGACACGACTGTCTTAAAGAAGAGTTTAAAAATAAAGCCTGCTCTTGGGATGTCTTAAGCTCTCTGACATCTGAGATTATCCAGACACCCAAGTCTAGCAGCGTATCTGGTACAAATTGGCTGATCTTTATAGAAGTCTGTGGAGCTGCAGTTTTACACGTGCTGATCTTGTCCGTTGCTCTTGAAGCTGCAGGCAAGGAGGGGCGCTTGGCAAACAGCTCTTCTTTTAGCATGCTTGTAAGAGGTCAGCGCTTCCCAGTACAGTGACTTCTCTGTGCATTAATAAGGCATCTCTTAGGACTGTGCCACAGGGAGTGACAGCTGAGGAGTTGTTGTAGTCCAGGAGTGTGTTTAGGTGCAGTATTGGGGAAAGAGAGGAGTTGTGCTGAACTCCAAGGCATGCTGAGCTCTGTTTATCTTCCGAGGGAAAATGAGGAATACCCTTGGTTAGAAATCAGTGAGGCAGGGTGCTGATATGCCTTTTGGCTGGGGGTAAAGTGCCTGGGTAGCACTGCTGCCTTCCTCTGGAAGAAGGAAGACCCCTGTGGCAGGAAGAATAAATCAATGCTTGTAGCATTGCTCCCCCAGCTTCTTGGGTGAACAGGGGGGCTTGGGGCTTGTCTCTGTGGGGCAGGAGCCCTCACCCATGTCAGCCTTTGATGACTCTTCAGCTGGAGGCACCCAGTTCACAGTGGGATGACTCACTTGAGATCAAAACCCAGCCCACTGACTCTTCGGAGGAGCTTGTCACAGGGATTCACAGCCGGAGCAGCCTGGCCATCTGACTTAGCATCCCGTTGTTTTTAAAACACTTCTGTTTTGCCAGACTGAAAGCGTGAATCACTTGCCTGTTCTGCTAATTATACACTGAGCAATCACGCTTGTTGCTCTCCAGCAGAGGCTTCCTTTCCATGTGGACAAAACCTGAGCTCATGAGCTACTCCTGAGTTTGCAGGAGTTTCAGTCCTTGCCCCCTCCTCGGGCAGCCTGAGGGCTGAAGGCTGGAGCACTGTTGAGCTAATGAAGCTAAAACTGCCCAGTCCAATGCAGTCAGGCTATTTGTGGTCTTGCTGATTAGCATCCTTGGCAGCCCTGTGCCTTGGCTAAAGGGGCCATAGAGCCTCATGGGGGGGTCCTGCGGCTACCAGCCTCTCCTGGGGGGAAAGCAGAGAAAGGAGGCAGGGTTCTTCTCTCTTGTGTCAGGGCCCCTGTAGTCACTGGGCAGGATTAAACTCTGTCTCCTTGAAGACGGTGAAAGCAAGAGCAGAGGCCTGGCTGCAGCGGTAAGAGGTTATGCAGCGTGCGTGCCTCCCTTTAATCCTTCTTCTCAGAGAGGAGCAGCCTGCATCTCCCCCCAAAACGTGCCAGCTCTCCGAGTCCATCTGTGTGTGCTGGAACTGACTGTTAAGTTGCATGATGCTTTCGTTTGTGTGTGTGGAGGGAGATATTTAGAAACTCTAGTGCTTTTGGCTCTCCTGCCTCGTGCAAAATGTGTATCTGTGATACTTTGGTAGAAGTGCACGTATTTTCTGTATCCTCTCCATGACGTGTGCTACAGTCTGGGGAATACTGAGGGAGGTGGAGACTTGGGTTTGCCTTTCATCTCTGCCCATGCCTTGGGCCTCTGAGCTTTTTGTGAGTGTTTTGGTGTATCAGGCAGATATCAGACTACACTTCTGCCTCTTGTTATGCAGCACAGCTTGTGAAAAATACTTGGCACTGAGAAGTGTAGAGATAGTTTTTGGTTTTTTTCCACTGTTTGCCACTTGCAGGAAAAAAAAGAAAGCGAGGGGAGGGAACTAAACCAACGTAGGTATGCAGCAAAAAATAACTGACACAGATGCAAGAGATGAGTCTAGCTCCTGTTCCTGCTGAGTAACTGATGATGAGGCAGTACTTGCTTTCCCAAAATATATCAAGGAAAGAGATACTGGTGCTGTGGTGAGAGATGTTCAACACCTACTGCTTTCTGTGAAGCCTGTGAGTCATGGGTACCTATTGCTTTCTGAGATCTGCTCTGAGCTCCTTTTACTTAATCATGAATCCAAGTCCACTGGCATTTTAGAAAATACTAATACTACAGATATTTAATTTAAGCCATTCCCAGGATCTCCTTCCATTGCCTGGGGCTTTTCCACAAAAATCACTGTTGCAGGTAAATGAGGTAGTGGTCTCTGATGTTTTTTTCACCTAGCCTGAGTGAAGGAGGTGGCATCTCTTAATCACCTGAAGCTTCTGTTTTACCATGCTGGTGAAGAGCCGTCCAGTAAACAGAGGGGTGGAGATGAGCAGTCTGGTGTACCGGCACTAAGCCTTCAGACAAGCCTGGTTCAGATGTTAAGAGAAGAGTCGGGTATCTAGCACAGGTGTCAAGCTGCATATGCCAGTGTGGCAAAAAGGAGCCCTTTGCCCCTTTGTGCCATGTGGTAATGGCACAGACTTAGACATTTTTACCTGGAGATGTTGCATTTTGGAGAATTTCTCTCTTTGTTTGTTTTTTTTTTTTTTTTTTTTTTTTCTTTAAGTGTAAGTGGTATTTTCATCAGCGCTTAGCCTAGATATCACTTATTTCTTCCTGCAATGGTTGGCTGGTCTGTATGTTTTGAGGAGGGCAGTGGAGATGCTCAGCAATTGTGCAGAGTGTGGGAAGTTGTTCCCTGGTTTGGATTCTTATTTTAACAACCAAAGAGTGTCTTTTTCCATGTCTGGTCCAAAGCCCACTGATTTTGTGGAAGAGAAGCTGGTGCTTCCAGCATTTTTAAACTTGGCTAAGGCTGCCCACGACTGTAATTTAGTTCAGCAGTATGGCCTCTGTGGAGTAACTGTGCTGGAAGTGTTTGGGTTAGTATCCTAAGGACAACAAACTTTTGGAGGAAAACATTGTGTGAAATAACAGCAGAGCTGCTCTGGGTCTACAGAGTTGGTGGGGTTTTTTTGTTTGTTTGTTGTTTTATCTGCTCTGAGGATATTGTCATTACTGCAATTTGTTGGGGAAGAGATAACTGGGCTGGCTGCTTTTTCCAAGCCTGTCTGTGAATTACTGTACAGCTGTTGTGGAAAAATCCTAAATATAATCTTGGAGTTGTTTCAAACCCCCCTTCTTCGAGGTCTGTGCTCCCCCATTACCCTCCACAAAATGGTCTTGGGGGTGTTTGATGGTATCAGCTCAAGGCCCCTGGACAGCCTGGAGGAGGAGAGCGGGTCACGAGGGGTGACTTGCAACCTCTGGGTGCCTGGCCTGGGTTTTTTCCCTGCCAAAGACCTGCAGTACAATGGGCTTTGTAGGTCACCCACGAAACTCGGGGAGTGGTGCCCTGCTTTCTCACCTCGTGTCGGATGAGGCTATTTGTAAACCAAGGCATCCGCAGGGCAGCATGCCTGCTTTTTTTGCCTCCCGGTCAAGGCCTGTAAAAGCTGGGAAGAGATTAGGCTGGCTTTAGAGGTGGTGTCACCATGTAAGCTGTGTCCTGCTGTGGCCGTACCAAAAGGTTGCAGGAAAAGCGCAAGCATGTCAGAGTTTCCCTTTTTCTGCTGGGAGGATAGAGCAAGTCTGAGAGAGCTTTTCCTTCCCTTTGGCAAACTGAGCCGAGGAGAGCACGAGCTTGCCTCTCTGCTGGCCTACACAGGTTTCTATCAGGAATAGATTTTGGAGTTGCAACCAGGACAGCATCGCAACCCGCATCAGTCTTTCATGTGCTGTTTGGGAGAGCTGGCCTCGCTGGGTGGTTTGGGGAAGTCCTGTGGGAAATTCTGGAAGGGGAAGCGGGCTGGTTTCTGCCGTAGAGCTGTACAGAAGACACAGAGGAGGCAGATTCAGCTGCTGCACCAATTAAACAGCAATTGATCTGCTCACAGCTGTGACTGTGTTTCACTGTGTCTCTTCCAGGTGTCTGCCCAAATAATCTTTGGGTAACCTTAGGGATATGTGATGCTGAGGCCTCAGAAACAATGTTTGGGTGTTGCATATTGGTACAGAGTCGCAGGCATGGAGAAACAGTCTGGTGGTGCTTGAGTGCCTTGGGGTCGGGGATGTTTTAGCTTCTAAGCCCCGCAGTGGAGAGTAGGATAGAGATAAAAGGAGATCATGTTTTGGAGGCAAACCTAAGACAGAAAGATCCCATGTCATGAAAACTCCTGCGTCATTACACAGTTCTGACAGGACTAGGCACAGCCTTCTTCCCTGACAGGGGTGCTGCAACCCTGTTAAATGCCTTTCTTCTTGGTCTTACAGAGCGATGACCTTAGGAACCTGTCCCTCTCCGGCCATGTGGGCTTCGACAGCCTCCCTGATCAGCTGGTCAACAAGTCAACGTCGCAGGGCTTCTGCTTCAACATCCTCTGCGTGGGTAAGTCATCCCACACTGCTGGGGGGTTAGCTCACACCAAAGGTTGCATTAGTACGCACAAATTAGCACCTTCTGCGTCCTGCAAAGGGTAGGATCTGAGCCAGTGGGGACCACTGTGGCAGGGAAGGGACAGTTTCTTCCCAGAGCTGCTCCAGGGTAAAATCTAGTATCCCTTTTTTCCTTTTCTCTACCCTGTCCCCTGAGTCAAAACATGGAAATTTCTAGCTGTTAAAATATATCCTTTCGATCGTCCTGTGATTCTGCTTTCCTCAAGGGCTGCCCATAAGGAAACTGAGCTAACTTGGGAACTCAATGTATTTTTAAAAGAACGTTAACTTAAATCTGCCTTTCTCTGGGTTGGACACAGAGGCTGTTTCTCACTAAATTGCATTCCTTCCCTTCCAGGCTTTGCCTGCCTGCCTCGTTATATTCTTAGTTTCTCCAGTTGGAAGTGATGCTGTTTTTAGTCACCAGATGATGTACTTGAGAACAAAGCCTGTCACCTGTTCTCTGCTATACTTAATTTGAGTGCTGCAAGTTGGTTTTATAGCCTGGCTTACTGTGTTACTTTTCCCAAGTTGTTCGGAGGGTGAAATATGGTGAGGCAACTTCTTCTCTTGGCTGTAGAGAGATGCCTGCTGTCTGGGTACTGTATGGATACTATGCAATTGGAAATCCTTTGTTCAGCCCTGGGAGAGCTCTGTGCCAAAACAGATTTGACCAACTGGTACACCTCTTCAAGATACCCCAGAATGTAGTTCTATAAATTGCAAAAATGTTGGGTTTTACTCTTAATTTTGGCAGAACCCTCTGACTGTGATTTTTTTTTTTTTTTTTTTTTCTTCTATAACAAGTTGAGAATTTCTGTCTGCAGTGCAGAGTGAACAGTCGGAGAAGAAATCTGGCAAACAAACAAGACTCCCCTCTAGCTTTGCATGTTGAAGAATGAGATAAGAGAATAGTCATACTTCTGCACGCTCAAGCTACCAGCCCTCATGTGACTCTGTTAGCAGCATGAAACCATTTAAAATTCAGCAGGGAACAGCCTGATTAGCAGGCAGCTCTTTGACCAAAATGGCATAAATTAATTGCCTTTTTTCTCTTGCAATAAATATTCCTCTCTTAGCGTGACTTGATATGTCTCCATTAACATAGTAATTTGATCCAACTCTTTTCCTATTGTAAAATGTGCTGATCAACCATTTTTCACCCCAAATTAAAATTTTGCACAAATTGCTGCAGCTGTCCAAGGAATAGGAATCTCCCCCTTTTAAAAAAATAAAGAAAAAACTAAAACAACTTTTTTGAAATTCTGTTTTGAGAAGGGATACAATTAACTTTGGCATTGTAACATGAGACTTTTAATTGTGGTGTGCATGGATAAAATGCTGCAAAGCTTGTCCAGCACAGCATGCAGCGGCACTGCATTCGCATCAGGAGCTCGCTCACATATGTAGCTTCAGATATCAACAGTCTGTGCCATCGGTTTAGGACTGGTCTTCTAGTGGGGGTTGCGCTCTATGAGGGCCTAGATTTTGAGCTGTAATGTCGATGGATACTTTCTGTCTTCCCCCTCTTTCATTTGTTCATTCTTTTTTAAAAGCTTGCTTTATGTCCTGCAGCTTCCCAGGGTAGGAATGCTGCGGCAAGCATCTCTGCTGGATTATTTTACTGGGCTGTAAGTAATCACTTACCTTCCTGAGCCTAGCATGAAAATGGTCAAAGCCAGCAAAATGATCTGTCGAGTATCACAGAGCAACAGGCTGTTGCTGAGTAGTGGTATTTGTTTCTGTGGACACAAATACTGTATGGTTTTCTAGAGTTCTTCTAAGTGGGAGTTTTGCATATTTTGAGAGAGATTTTCATGCTAGGAGAGCTGCATACAGCCTAGAGAGATGTTTGAGGGCAATCCCAGCTGCAGGTTCTCCTCTCCCACCTGATACATTTTGTATTGCTTTTCTATTATTCACTTCTACTTGATATTTTGGGGGTGTTTAAGAGGTTGGGATAGGACACCCGCACAAGCCTGACCTGCAAATGGCAGGGCTGCCCACTGCAGTCCAGGAGCTCTGTCCCAGATCTCAGCATCTCTTCAGCTGGAGAAACTTCAGGACATTACCTCAGCCCAACCCTGCTCACAGCATGGGGAGCAGTAGCAGTTAAAGAATGTAATTGCTAAGCAAACACTTTTGACTTAAAAATGGGATTTAGGCTAATGCTTTCATCCATGTTACTCGTTGAACTGGGGATTAGTGAACTCAGTCTAAAAGTCGGTATTCAAGTAGTGTGCTATTTTAGATTTTTTTAAAACTGCTGTCTCAAATTTTCATTGCTCAAGTTGCACTAAGGGGTTTTTTGTGATCCTCTTGAAACAGGAATGCAAACTGAGCTGGGGGAAAAAAAAAAAAAAAGGCATACAAACATGTAGAGAATCAGATATCTCCTTGGGAATCAAAGTCAGAGCTGAGAGAATTTACAACTTGCTTCTGTAAAGAAAGTTATATCAGAACTAGGACTTAGCCTACACTATTAAAAAGGTAATTAAGTATTTCTCAAGTAAAAACATTTTCTTGCTGTTCTGAATACTGATATCACTGGCAAGGTGGGGGGATTGGGGCTCTTCATGCTATCGAGCAGCAGGGAGCCTGCATCATCAGTCACATCATACCAACATAAAAACCACAGGCAACTGCTGAAAGCAAATGCTTTTATGGGAAGGGAATAATTGTTTGTCTCTCCTGCACTGCCAGTGTAGCAAGTCCAGTAACAGGGTTCTGGCAGCAGCAGGCATTTGCTGGTTCATCCTGGAAGGAGTCCTTTCCTTTCTCCAAGGAAGGAGGCTCACTCAGCAAATGTCTAAGTAACTATTCTTAAAGCTATTGTGATTCTATTTTTTTCTTTTTTATTTCTTTTCTCACTTGTTCCCCGCCACCTTCCTTCCCGTTTAGTACCTTCTCTTCAGGGAGTCTCATAAGCCTCAGCCTGTCCTCTCCAATTCCTCCATTTCCTATGGGAAACATTAACAGTAATATTACCGGAAAAGACTGTGCCTCTGTGTGTGTGTGTGTGTGTGTGTGTGTGTGTGTGTGTGTGTAATAACCTCCTTCTCTTCCCCAAAATAATGAAAAATCCCTGAGGTCAGTGGGGCTTAGTATCTCTGGTGATGCCCCTTTCAGTGTCCTCGCCTGTGATTGTGGTACACCTCCCTGGAAAAGCCAGCCCACAGATTTCCCTTGCTGTTCCCAGCACAGCTGCCTAGCTCTTCACTTGCGGGTGATGACTTTTAGCTCTGAAGGCATTTGGTTAATCCTGGTGTCTGTCAGGGTAGCAGGTTTTGCACAGCAGGGGCTCATTTCGGATTCGCATCCCCAGCGTCTGGCGCTTTGATCGGGTATGTCTGCGAGGCGTGCTGCAGAGACTCCGGCGGTGTGACCTGCGGAGGAAATCAGGTGGAGCCCAGCAGCAGAAGCCAGAACTGCTGTCACCACCCAGCGTCCACAAAGTCCCTGGTTCAGTCCTGGGGGATTTATAAAGATGAGGACTGCCTCAAAAGACATCTGTTCCTGCAGGGATTGTTTTGCCTAGCCATGTGCACATAGCCTAATTCCACTGCTACCCGAGCAGAAAAACTCCTTAGCCTGGCGAATGTGCTTGAGAATGAGATGAGGAAAAGCAGTCGGACCATACTAACGTTACCTTTGTCTGCTCAGGTGAAACTGGCATTGGCAAATCAACGTTGATGGACACTCTGTTCAACACCAAGTTTGAAAGTGAACCTGCGACGCACAACGAGCCTGGCGTGAGATTGAAAGCCCGGAGTTACGAGCTCCAGGAGAGTAATGTCCGTCTGAAGCTGACTATTGTCGACACAGTTGGATTTGGCGATCAAATTAACAAAGATGACAGGTAAATTTATTTCTGTCAGGAGAAGGAATCCTTGCCCTGTTGTGCTCCAAGATCAGTAGGACCCTCGCTATTCCTGGGGTTGTTCCCCGATCCAGGTGTGGCAGCAAGCATCAGTTGCCCCAGGAGACAGGTACAAGTGATGAGAAACTGAAGAACAGAGAGATCGACGAGGCTACAGAACAGACACTGTGTTTCTGCCCTCCTTGGAGCAGAAACTTTCAGCGTAGCTGAAGTCTCTGCTTGAGTTGAAACGTGTAAATATTTGAAAGCATGAGTTCAAATTGCAATTACATTGCGTCTTTTAGGAAGCTGGAACTCAAATTCTAGTTCTGTTCACACCGCCCTGCAGTGTTGAAGTTGAAGTGGGTTTTACTTTAACATTGTGCTTAGGTGCTGATTTTCACATTATATGCAAGAAGTAAAAATTCTGGGCAGCCTACGCAATCCCTTGTGTCCATCCATACGGACCTTTGCAGTAGTGTTAGAACTAGTCATTCTGTGTTCACAGCTAATATGCTAATTAATGCATTTCCTATATCTTAGAGCCATATGCTCCCTTGTTGCTGTAATCCCAGCTCCCTCTGGAAGGTTGTTTGCGATCCTCTTCTCTGCACCTTGCCAAGTGCTGGGGGGGGGGTGGGTGGTGGTGCTGACCAAAAGCTGTTAGGGCACTGGGCAGATGGGCAGCGTAAGCTCTTTGAAAATGTAAGCTTAACATCAGACTTTCCTCCAGAATCCCCATTAGCATGGAGATTGAGCAGATCCCGCTTCCCGTTCCATAAGGAAAACTGCAGATTTTAGAAAAAGGTTTTACAATGCTTGATTTCTGTAACGCTTCCTTGCTGCTTAACCTGACACCGAAAGGCAATTGTTGCCCCGGCTTTGGGGCTCCTGCTCCTGGTGAAAGCTGCAGAGCCAAAGCGGCGAGGGGTGCGTGGTGGCCGGAGGGCGAGCTCTGCACGTTGGGCACTGCCATATGCTCCTGGGCGAGAGCAGAAGCTGCTCGGAGGAGGAGCAGGTGCTCGGAGCGGGGATGCTCTGCAGCTCGTTGCTGCTGGGTCAATTTTTACATTTGCTTCGTTGGGCAGACAGGAGGAGCTGGCGGTGTCGGTGGTGAAGCCCCTCCAACTTCTCTCTCGGGCAGTTGGAGAGAGAGGTGGTCACGGGGACACAGGGTTTAGGGACAGCTTTTGTCCTCCTGCTGTGTGCCGACACAGATGGCTGCAGTGGGTGGGATTTTCTCTGTGCTCCTCGCTTGAGTCCCCCCCAGTCTTTTTTTTGCTCTGCTTTTTTACAGTGCTTTCTTCACTATAATCTCCCAGTGTAAGGCCACAGTGCTTTCTTTGCAACACGCCTCTGTGGGAGATTTTTGGCATCTCATGGTCAGAGACAGAACTTGCAAAAGCGAAGAAACCAGAGCAGCAGTCACGTTATAAACCCACCTAGTCATATTCATGACTTGCTCTGTGCCTGCAAATTAACAAGCTCTGCTCGGTACCATCTTATGGGTCCCTGCTATTGACAGCCCTCACACAGCACTGGCTGTCTTTTGCTCTAGCTCTTGCTTGGTAAATCAAGTACAAGTCTGCTCTGCTTCACCGAGGGTTTTGAGCAACTGCTCAAGCAGCTGCACTGGCACCTGGAGCAGAGGGGCCAGACCAGAGCCTTGCTGGCTGCCTGTCAGAAGGGTGTTTCTGGAGGACCTGAAAACTCCCGATGGTCTAGTTCCTCCTCACAACTGCTTTTGAGGGCAGGCATTAACGCTGCTGTGAATCTAGCGCTCAAGGCAGTGGCAGTGTTGTCTCAGTGCCCTCATTCAGAAAATTCCTTGGGCTGGAGGTCCTGAGGCTGCCCGTGGTGGAGGGAGGAACAAACAGAAGAGTTTGCTTTCCAGAAGCACGATCAGTTAGTCAGATCAAGACATGTTACACTGCAGCAGCTTTTTCTTCTCCAGCAAAATGGTCCCCTCAAAGTAGATGAACAGTGCAGTTGCCTCCTGACCTTTGCTTACAGGCTTCAGTTTCTGAAAAGTTCCTTTTAGTGCCGTGTGAATTTCCCTTCTTTTAAGATCACGAACAAGATTTTGGACAAGCTAGGGTAGGTGGTGGTTTCAAGTTTAAATTTTCTTATATTGGATGATCCTCAGACATTGACAGAGTAGCAGCTCAGACTTTAATTGGAGAGACTGCAAAATATATTGTTTTTTTTTCAGGGTAGCAGCCTTGTGTGGTTTCCATGAACCTAAAGTCCGGGGTCTCTGACACTTTATCTTGCTAATATGGCCATAGTATTCTCCCTGTGAACCGAGCAGAAACACACTTGCTCAGGAGGGCCCGTGGGTTGAGTGAGGAGGGTGCTAAGAGCAGTGCTTGTCCTGTAATATACAGAGCACCCATGAAGCTTCCCGAGTGTGGATCAGTGATGTGTGTTGTCCCAGCAGTGAATGCTCTGGTTTTCTTTGTGCCGTGTTTTCCCTCTTCAGCTACAAGCCCATAGTAGAATATATCGATGCGCAGTTTGAAGCCTACCTACAAGAGGAGCTGAAGATCAAACGGTCCCTGTTTAATTACCACGACACCAGAATTCATGCCTGCCTGTATTTCATTGCACCAACTGGACACTCGTTGAAGTCCCTAGACTTGGTCACCATGAAGAAGCTCGACAGTAAGGTACTTGCTGCTCATGTTACGACCCTTGCATGGCCCTACCTAGTGGTTTTATGATCTTGCCACTGTTTTTAGCAGTGAGGAATCACACAGACGCCGTGTGAAAACTTCACCTTGAGCTAGCTGCTAGAATTGGCCACCATTCACTGGTTCATATGCTGCAGGAATTTATTAAGAGTTTGGGCTCCGACCCTCTTCCAGTCCCAGCTTGGGTTAGGAAACTTGGCGGCTTGCTCCCCAGCTGTGCTATGAAGGTAGCAGTCTGAGAGCAGGAAACTTGATGAGGATGCATTAGGAGACCACCGTTCTTTTTGCTTTGCTGTGGGTTGACTCAGCCAAGTTTGCTGACAGGTTTGTTCGCAACTGAAAGATCAGTTGGCTGTTGAAAAAGAGAGAAAAGTGTGTTTTCTTCCTTAAATGCATAAGTAAAAACGAGAGCTTGACGTCGAGCTCTGCTAGTTCTAGCACTCAAAGACCTGGTTGCCATCTCTGTTTCACTTTGTCTAACAGGTTAATTAGGTTCTCGTACAAAACCTGATTTGGTAAGTATATGAGATGAGAAGTACATCTAAAACACTTCAGGTCATCTTATTAATCAATGAAAAACAAATCAAAATGCTGTGTCTGCATGCTCTGAGCACATCCAGCTGGACACAAACAGTGATTTGATCTTCTATGGCAAATGTAGTGTTATTCTAACCACGATCTGATAAACGAGAAGAATCTGAATAAATACCTTACTCCACATGTGCTTTTTTCAGTTACCCTCCTGACTAGCAAGAATGGGAACCAAGCTTGGTTTAAAGCATGGTATTTTACTAGATACTTGCAAGAAGATTTCATCTCGTTTCTTTTAGGGAACATAATCAAGGTACAAATGTAAAACCTGAGTATTTAAACTGAGCTTTCTCTGTGCTGCTTTACGTCATGATTAAGCAACTTAAGTTGGTCTGCCTTGCACCTTTGGCTCATTGGACCCTGATTCTGGAGAAGATAAATGATGACAATGATTCTTTATTTCCTACAGCGACCTATCAATTGGGTTTTATGCTGTGATGGAGGAGGATCCCTGCTCTGTTCGACTTAAAAGAGGGTTATAGAGGTTTATCCCAAGTGAGCTAATTGGCATTCATATTCTGTCTTTCGGCAAAGGAGGATTTAATAACTCCAGGCCATCCTCTGAACAGAATTAACCGATGTAACGTAAGAGGATTTTCAAGTACTGTAGTTAAAATCCCTTCATATAGGTCAATATCAGCATCTTCCTCCTTACGATTTCAGACTGCTGTTGTGAGGAAAAGCAAGTCCTGCAAGATCAAAAGCAGAAATGGCCCATCTGGCGGGAGTAGAAGGGGAAAGAAAGCAGGATGATTCCTCCTAATGCCTTCTTGCCCTCTCCCAGCAAAGGGGACGCTTGCGCAATGCTCGCTGTGCATCGGATCCGTTCAGCTGTACCGCGGGTGCGGTGCGATCTCCCCTTGGCTCCTAGATGGTGTTGCTGTTTGCCACCCTGCTGCCAGTGCTGCAGACAGCCTGCCCAGGGAGGAGAGCCAGTAACTCCCATTTCTGCACTAACCCCATTGCGGGGTTCCTTTGGATGAATGTCTTAGAGCTGTGCAGGGATAGATCAGCAGTGCGGGGAGCACGTGGGCGTGTGCCGGTGCCAGTGTTACTGCCAGCCCCACCCCATGCCTAGGTGGTAATTTCTTTTTTTTTTTTTTTTTTTTTTTTTTGAGCAGCTTATAATAATTTATGAAAGCGTTTCCTGTCCAGCCAATTCAGACGAGGAGGGGAATACAACAGGACAGGAAGTAGCACGTTGCCAGATTGCATTTGACTTCTTTTTAAGGCCATCATTGCTGCTGCCTGAAAATCCTGTCTAAGGCAGTGGTGCTGGCAGCAGCAGCTCCGGGGATGGTTTTCCGCTGCGGGGGCGGTGGCTGGTGGCATTTTTAGGGCCGTTGCCGCAGGATGTGTGCTGCTCTCCACCCTCTCCCAGTGACACAACGTGCGCAGTCCTGCATTGTGGAGGTGCTGTCTCTGTCTTGCAGGTGAACATCATCCCCATCATTGCCAAGGCTGACACCATTGCAAAAAATGAGCTGCACAAGTTCAAGAGTAAAATCATGAGCGAGCTGGTCAGCAACGGCGTCCAGATCTACCAGTTCCCAACGGATGAAGAGACAGTGGCTGAGATAAATGCCACGATGAGTGTATGTTTTTTTTGGGGGGGGGGGTTGGGGGGGGAGTGTGTGTGTTTTTCCTTGCTTTGGTTTGCATGGGCCCATCCTTAATGGGAGGGCACATTGTACTGTGTTTCTTTTAGCTTTAAAAGTGCAGTCGAAGCACGGATACCAGGTTGGCCAGAAGGCTTTTGGAGCTGGAGATACCTGTCACACATGGGCTGCTTGGCCTGATACACTTCATTGTCTGACAAATGATTTTCCTCTGAGCATTTTTTTTTTCATATCCTTCCCCTATTGCACTATTCCCATCTCGGGAAAGGAAGAGGAAGGGAGGCAGGGCCCCAATGCGGTCAGAGCAAAGGGCTGGGCTTTGGCTTTCCTGTCCCAGACGACCACTTGCTGCTCAGTGGGGGGTGATTCACTTCTGCCTTTGTTTCGCTTTCCGGTGAGAACAGGGTTGTCCTCAGTGATGTCCCAGCTCTCCATAGGGCTGGTGGCGTTCAGGGGTGAGGGCTCTGGTTCTCACCTCCTTTCCTTTTCCTTTAGTGATAGGAGTGGGATTTGAGGGCAAACAGGGCTGGGGTAGACAAAACCTTTCAGTGGGTTTTATAGAGGGAAGCAACCGTTTCCCAAGGGCCTGACTTGGAGCGCAAGGGGAAGAACCTGAGCTCAGGGTTTCTGGCAGTGACGTGCATCACAGCCATGCTGACAGGGCTTCTGGGTGGCCTTAGCAGGGTGACTAACACCCAAGAGGATGTGCCAACCCCAAAGCAAGTGCACTCGATAGCAAATGCAAGGACAGGGCTGAGTTACCCGCCTTTTTTACAGGGAACGGAGGCATCGAGATTAAGCTATTTCCTTGCAACTTGCAGGCTTTTGTGTGTTTCCCTGCACAGCTCCTTGTAGGTGGGCAGTTGTCACATCTAGCCAGGTATCGGACCCTCTCCAAACCTCTGTGTTGCCTCTTTTCCCCTGTCTGTGTTGTGTTCTCCGCAGGGAGAAGCTGACCCAGAGAAGGGACGTGTCTCTGCCAGAGGGCAGTGTGTGTGTTTGGCTTCCTCTGGTGCAGCCCGGCTGCCGGGAAACTCCTCTGCCAGTTAATCACATCTCGGCCGCCGCTTGGCCGCTTCCCCTCCCGCCCAGCCCGTGACCACGGCCTGGCCAGTGCAGCACCTGCTCCCGGCGCTTGCACCCAGCCCTTCGGGGTGCTCGTAAGGCAGGGTGGGCACCGCGGGGCTGGGCCGGCGGCAGAGGCCAGCTCCCTCCTGGCAGCACCCAGGCTGCGGGGAGTCGATCCCTGACTGTTGCCAACACACCTGCGGGGAGACTGGGACGTAGCAGGGCTCGGTGTCTCGGACGTCTCGGCCCAGGGCCGGGCCATCTCCGCTCTTCCCCTTGCTCACAGCTTTGCCCTTCTTATGAGGAAGCATTAGGAGTTATTTCTAGCAGCAGAAACCCCCTGAATTTTGAGCCTACCTTCCTTTGGAGGACGTACTTTATTTTCTTTTATTCACTGACGACTATTTTTCCGAAGTGTTCGAATTCGATTCCAGTTGGTAAGACTTCTTCTGTGCTTCAAACAGTTGTGCTTTGTGATAACCTAAAAAATATGTACATCTCTTGTATTTTTAGGACATAACAATTTTGGGCTTTTAAGTCCTAGTGGGTTTCTCATCCAGATTGTCCTGTTGCTCTTTCTAAAACACCAGATGGATTGGAAAGACGTTTAAGCAACTTAAATGTAGCACAGCTGCCACAGTAAACAGCTTGCTTCAGAAACAATCCCTGGCAAGGCAACAAAGGAAATCCCTAACCTCGTTGTCCCTTTCCTTTTGTAGGTCCACCTTCCTTTTGCTGTAGTTGGCAGCACTGAAGAAGTGAAGATCGGCAATAAGATGGCAAAGGCCAGGCAGTACCCCTGGGGTGTTGTGCAGGGTATGTTACCGAAAGCACAAATAAGGCCTTGTCATCCTGTCTCCTTCTGATGAAAGATACACTGCTCTCTGGGTGGTCCTTATCAAAATCTGTCTTGAGAAAGCAAGATCACAGCTCTAAGGCTTCTTAAAATCAGGGCTCTGCAACCTAGAGCTAGACATGGAGGGGGTTTGGCAGCAGGGTGGTGACATCAACCTAGCCGTTGGCTTTGGGAAGGAGCAGGGTAACATTACTAGGAGATGTTAAATAACAAGCTTGAAAAATGAAAACTTGCCATTTTCTGTTCCTTACGCTTTTCTGCCAGCAAAAAAACGCGTGAGCAATGCGGGGGGCTTGGGCAGCAGAGCGGTTCGGTTTGGACCTTTCAGATGGGTCTGAGTGCAAGCGCATAGCTGGGGGATTTTCCAGGGCGGTTGGCAGGTGCTCTGTCCTCTCAACTCAAAGTGGGAGCGGAATTAACTCAACCCTGCCTGCTTGGCCTGTCCACGGTTTAGGATACCACAACAGGACCTACGGCTTAAGTATGCAGCCCCCCCTAAAGTCAACCAAGAGTTCCTTCCTGCAGAGGAGCAGAGTTTGGCTTAGGGCTGTGGTTGCAACTCAGGCTGTACCGAAGCTGCCAGAGGTAGGGCTGGTTCTTGCTTTCCCAGCCAGCACTGAGAAGTACAGGGTTGAGCTGGTGGTGGTCTGCTCGCGGCTTCGGCTGTGTATCCACTTGGAGAGCAGCCCAGCAAGCTGCAGGGTAACATTCGCAGGGCAATTCAGCAAAACCGACTGAGTTTTTCTCAGTAATGGAAGCTGATCCTGGAGCAGCTTCAGATTTACTGTTTCCAGCTGTGTACACCAGAAGATAATACTGGGAATAACTCACAATTAGGAAAGAAGTTGGTATATTTGGCAAGTCTTGGACTTGACACGTATCCTGCTGGGTTCTTGCTGTTCCCAGGAAACTAGGACCAGGTAGTGGAAGAGATTTAGTTGAGTGCCAGAGAGACTTTGAATATCTGGCCCCGAGCTGCCCCTTTGCAGAGACAGCTGCTCTGGGCTGAAGGGGAGCAGCTGGAGCGCTTGCCTGTGTCCCCGGAGGCATGCTGCAGAGTTTTCCGTTAGCAGCAGAGGCGCCTGCTGCTTGCCACTGCATCCTAAAGAGAGAATTTTCCACCCCTTGTCTTTCAGCATACCCAAACTGTTTGCCTGCACTGAAGCATGCAGCCCTCTGGACGCAGGCCCTTCGCAAGCTGAACAGCTTCCTCGCCCACGGGCTGCCTGTGGCACCACAGACCCTGCTCTGGATAAAAGTTGTTATGGGAAGCCACGTTATGCTCTGTGTGCTGCCTCCCTTCAGTGCCTAGAAGCAGTGGTTTAAGGCACTTTTGTAAAGCTAGCAGGTGTGGAGGTGGTACAGCATCCCTGGTGGGGGTCTCCTCATAACCCTTCTTTTCACCGCTGCCACAAACTGAGATTTTGCTGCCCACCTGGGCCATGGTTGGTGACTTGGATTTAGAGTGGATGTGAGTGGGAAGTGAAATCGTATGTTCAGAAGGATCATCACCTTGCTGGTGCAGAAATGCATGGGGAGACGGGAGCTCTGTGACAGATGGGCAGCACGGAGATCTTGCAAATCCACTCAAAGGCCTTGAACTGGTGCCCATGGGTTGGCGTGGGATGGTTTCACCCCCAGTTCAGCAAGGCATTTTGGTGCAGGCTGGCTCAAAGTTGTGCTTGCGTACCTGAAGAGCTCTCAGGCTTGCTAAACCGGGGCCTGGATCCTGGGTTTAATGCTCTCTCTGGACGGCCTGTCTTTTTTGCAGTTGAAAATGAAAATCACTGTGACTTTGTGAAGCTGCGGGAGATGCTGATCCGAGTGAACATGGAGGACTTGAGAGAGCAGACGCACACCCGACACTATGAGCTGTACAGGCGATGCAAACTTGAAGAGATGGGATTCAAGGACACAGATCCAGACAGCAAGCCGTTCAGGTGGGAAAGCATAACTCAGGCCTCGTACAGCCAGAGAGATCAGAGGTTTTGGGGTTGCTGATATGTGCAAGAACCAGGAAGAGAATGGCCACGATCACTTAGAGCAGCTGAGATCTAAAGTGTGGCTGGGGAGGAAAACCTCCTGCAATGCAGTCTTGCCCTCAAGGCCTAGGATTTGTACAAGAGCAGCACAGGAGAAGCTTGGGTGGCTGAGAAAGCCCATTCTTGCCTTAACATTTTGAAAATGTCTGCAACCCTGCAGCAGGGCTGTTACAGGCTTTCTGGAGCCTGCAAAATGTCATGGAGTGCTTGTAGGTGATGTGTTTCGCGGGCAGAATATGACCCACTTCAGATCAACCTGGGAAGCATAGGAGGAAGAAGCACGTGTCTGCAGATCTGTCTGCACCCTGTAGCTTAAGTTGTATCAGTTTTCTTTGCACCTTGCTCTCAGTATCTCTTGCACTGCCATGAAACAGAAGCTGCTGGCCCCTGCTCTCAGGTGTGTGCTGGCCCCTGCTCTCAGGTGTGTGCTGGCCCCTGCTCTCAGGTGTGTGCTTTTCAGTCTATCTCCTACCTGTCATCTGTCAGCCAGTGCTAGCAAATGTCGAAAGGATTGGTTTCTAAATGCTCCTCCTGTCCCTCAGTGTGGAGGGCAGTTCCTCACGGGACTCTTCAAACTGTCCGTTGCTCTACGTGGGCGAGAGGCTGCTGTAAACGCAGAGCCTGCCGTGAGGACTGCTACTGTTTCCTGGCTTCTTTGTGTCCTCAGTGTCATGGAAGGGGGCATGTTTTTGTAAGATGCAGTGAGAGAGTTGGTGGTATTAGGTAATTAAGGCTTGTAAGCATGTCTGATTTGGAACAGCTAACTGATGTCTGGCTTTGTTGACTTATTGTTTCAAGCTGGGAGAATCTCATTTTGGGGTTGGGAAGTTTGTTTTTAAAAATTTTTTTGTTTCTCCAGCCTTGCTGTTGCTTTCCTAAAACCTGCGAACTGTCTAGTCTTAAGTGAAGCTTACGCTCATCTTGCCTACTGCAGTATTATGAGCTTTGTGGAGACTTGAGTGAATCTGAATAGCAAGTTCATTAAATCACTTCAGGAATTCCTCCTGACACTTTTTGCCCTTGGAGTGGGGCAGGGTTTGAGATGGTCAGCTTCCCCCTTTCCCCCACTGCAGACCGGCCTGTGTGTTGCAGCCAGCTTGCTCGACTACAAGTCAGGGCAGTGTACAGTCACTGGGCTTGAGAAGGGCGGCTGTGTCCGTGCTGAAGGTGAAGGCAACTCGCGTGTTGAGGTATAACTGGTTACCACAGGGGAGATCCTGAGATAAATGTTGTTGTTGACCCCCCGAAGAGCTTTTCACAGCTGGTCCAAGGTGCACTGTGAAGAGGGTGCCGTGATCTGATGCTTGAAGTTTGGCTTTTTACTAAAGACAGAGTTTACGCTCTGGCAGCTTTGTTGGTCTGAAGCCCAAGTCATTAACCAGGGACAACAGCTGTGTGGGAATTTGGGAGGGAGTGTGTTTGTTCTCCTTTCATTTCCTGTTTCCCATTCCTCCCCAGCTTTTCCCCAATAAATGCACCCGCTGCCTTAGCAGCATCCCACGCTCCTCTCTGCCCCAAGGGAAGTTAGTCAGAATTAAGTGTGTACCAGGGTGGATTTACCCCCGTAACACACGTGTGTCAAGAATTAGTGGGCCAGTCCCCGAGACGGCAGCCGGGCAGCTGGCTTGTGCAGATCGCCACGGACGTGGTTCACCTCTCATACTCAACAGGGGAAAGCCGGGTGGGCTCCAGAGCAGAAACCAGAGTGGGAGCCTTGGGTTCATGTTTTGGGAAAACAGCACTCTGTGGTGAGCTGAGCAAGGTCTGCGCTACACCATGGCGTTTGCATCGGTTCGGGGTTTTATTTGTGACTTGCTGAGTTTATGTAGCTGTGTTTCTTTTGCAGCACAGAAACTCTGCTGGAATCAGTCGAGCCCAGTTCTGTTACTAAGCCCGAGTGTGAAGCTTTATTGGATTTCCTTTCTGGAGAGCAATGGCTTAAGATGGGCTCAGCCCTTCCCTATGAGGAATCTGAGGAATTTCCATTGCTTCCTGTACACGAGGCCTCTTTAGACCAAGCTATAAGTAGAAAGGAAATGAAAACGTACAGAATTTCTCCATCTGGTATGTGCTAGTTCAGAACAGTTCACTCTGGGTGCCTCCTCCCTCCAATAAACAAACAAAACCCATGATCCCAAGCTGTTTGGCTGAGGCTGATGTATGTCTGAAATGAGGAAAACAGTAGGTTTGGTTCTTTCTGTTTTTCCTTCTGAGGCCAGGGATCAAAAGCATGCCTTTCCCCCGGGTCTGGGCCCTGGGAGCCGCAGGGACCACCGCTCTTCGGCCAGGAGCAGGGAGCCTTTTCTAAATCCCGGGGTGAGCAGGGCAAAAGACCCCAGCAAACCATTGGTGCTGTGTAGGCGCTTGCACGAGGTGTGAAAAAGGGAGGCTGGCGGTGGTTGTGAGACCCACCTTGCTGACAAAGAGCCCCCACCGCTTGTCCAAGCTGCAGGAGGTGAGGAGGGAGCACCAGTGCCCCTGTGAGGCATCTGCCCCGTGAAATGGGGTCCTCTGTACGAAGACCCTTCTGCTGCCCTGCATCTGTGGGCTGGTTTCTCTGCTGCTCTGGTTAATTTTCTCAAAATACTTTTTTTTTACATTATTTTATTTGCAAGGGCATCAGTCGGTGTGTGGGTGTGTGTTGGGAAAGAGAGTTACTCTTGTAATCTAGGTTCATAAGTTTGTATACTTAAAAAGCAAATTCCTTTGTCATCTTTGTCTGTGAGAAGCTGCAGGGATCCCAGTCGGTTTGGACTGTTATTCCTTAGGGCTCTAAGTGGTTTTTCTCATATGCAGCCTGGAGTTGCTGGGCCAGTTTCTCTGAGAACTTTGCTTCTCTGGAGGTCGGAGTCACTTCAGTAGAGAATTAAGCTTTCTGGTTTTAGGTTAGTGGTAAATCTTTAAGCTTGAGGCTGGGATTAGCTTTGAATCTGGTACAATTTAACAGCAAGCCCCTGCCACCCTTGCTCCTGCCAGCCTTCTCCTGCTTGCCTGTCTCCCAGCATTGTGTTTTTGGAAATGAGCTTTGCAAGAAATTGTTTGCAGTACAGGACACGATTAGCAGTGTGCAGAGTTTTCAGTTTTGGTCCGTAAGGCTTTGCTGCTCCCTAGTATAGTGTGTCATTAATTGCAGATTCAATTTTTGCTCCTTGAGCAGTGAAGGCTGATCTGCCCTCAGGGTTTTCCTAGGCTCTAGCCAGATCTTTCAGAAGGTTTTATGACCCTAAGTTTCACTGTCCACAGTCAGAGGATTAAATCCAAGGCTGAATTTTAGGGAGGTTTTGTTTCACATCTCCTGATGTGTATCTGCTGTGAGTGGTCTGGTCCTTGATCTAGTCAAGAATCCAAAGATGCCTTTTGCCCTGTTTTCCCATGAAAAGATTTTTGTCATTTGTAGACTCAGCTTTTTTGCTTCTATGTGTGGGAAGCTGGCATGGTCAGCTGGAATCGTGTGATTCCTGCAGCGTGGCCAGTGCAGTGCAAGAACAGCTCTGGGCATCCTTTCTGTGAAATATTTTATGAAGCAACTGAAGTGCCCATCGATTAGCAGCATTAAATGCAAGAGTTGCATTTATCTGTCAAGTTTTGTAAGTTTTGTTCCCCAGTTAAACACTCTCCCAACATCCCCCCCCAAATAATTAAAAAACCAAAACAAAAATAAAACCAAACAAGCTTAACAGCAACAACAAAAACAACAAAACAAAACAGAAAAGCCACCAAAACCTCCACCACATGCCAAGAAAGGCAAAAGCTTGGCTTTGATGGGATTAAGATGTTCCACTAGCTCAGTGGTTAAAGGGTTCTGTAGGCGCATGGATGCAATGTATCTGTGTGATATCAGTGGAGTTTTTTGTTGAAAAAAAAATGCATTTTCCAAAAAGCATCTTGGGGGAAATAGTTATCATTCCCACACTATCATTATGGCTGAAATTTCTAAATCCATTTAAGGAATAAAATGAAGAGGAATTTGGCATCCAGAGTTCCTAAGAGGATCTGAAAATCTCAGAGGTGCATGGACAACATATTTTGTGTCCCAAATCTTTGCTGCGGTATCTCAGTACTGGGGAAATAAAGGAATGCCAAGAAGTAGAGGGGGAATAAAGGAATGAAGGAATCCAGCAATGTGGTTATTTGGGGGAGGAATGCTGCTGCTTGTTTGCAAAGGCTTCGCCTCCCTTGACAGCTAAAGGAAAAAGAGAAGTCTCCCGAGGTGGCTTGATCCTAAATAAGCCCCTGATCTGAATCTGTTAGCAGAGAGTAGTGGAAACTAGGTTTGCTGTGTGACAGTGTTATGCTTAATGAATGACATAAAGCTGGATTTTGCACGCTGATGTGCCCGTGTCTGTTCCACACACCTTGTGCTCCAAATGAAGAGATTCGGGACCAACAGTGGGAGAAGGTGCGACTCAAGGCGATCACAAGCCGTGTTGGCATCAGGGATTGCTGTAGATGCTGATGTAGCGGCTGTTTATTTTTTGAGGACAGTAATCCTGCCCGCTAAGTGACTTACAGGGTCCTGAACAGTGTGCTTAGGTTTTTTCTCTAGACAGTTTGTCTGCCACTGCTGCCACCTAGCAAGCTGGGACTGGTTTTGGTGGAGGTGATGATGCCTCTGTTGTGGTGAGGGACCTCGGGCAATGTTTTGTGACAAGACAATGTGGTAAGGTCACCAAAGGCTGGAAACCCATGGCTGTGCTTGAAATGCAGCGCTGACTGTTTTTTCTGTGTTTTTAACAGTCTCCAAGAGACTTACGAAGCAAAGAGGAACGAATTTCTGGGTGAGCTTCAGAAGAAGGAGGATGAAATGAGGCAGATGTTTGTCATGCGGGTGAAGGAGAAGGAAGCAGAGCTGAAGGAAGCAGAGAAAGATGTGAGTATATTGTAACTCGAAGACTATGTTGTGAGGGTTTAGGCTGGGGCTTTTCCAAGAGAGCCTTGGGAAGGTGAGCATCCAGATTCCAACATCTGTCCTGCGAAGGTGCTTACTGTGCATAAACAGTCTCAAGAAGCAGCTGTGAACTAGTTTCCCAGTCCTGCCACAGACTTGTGGTGCGACCTCATCACACAAGTCCTCTGCCACTTTCCTGTGCCTGTAAAATGGAGCCAGGGGTATTCCCTGATTTTGGGTGGCTGGGGGAGGATATATACCATGGAGCGTGTGGGAGGTGCTGCAGTGTGACAGTAGCTGCGGCTACGTAGCCCGCAGAAGTGCCAGCCTTGCTGTGCTGTGGGAGTCCTCTCTGCTCTCCCACCTCTTCCGTCTCCTCCGAAGGAGAGAGTAAGTTTACATGTTGATTTGCAGTGGGTTTTCAGGTGTGGTACAGCAGTCACACCTTACTGGAGACCTTCAGTAAGTAGATGAGGACTTCTCAGAGGGCAGCGAGTCCCTCTCAGGATAGTTGTAGAGGGAGTGACAGAGCTCTTAGAGAGCTGCCCTACCAGCCCCTTGCTCAGGGTGCGTGGGTCAGCGCTGATTACTGTGGGACAGAGAAAATGCAGATGTCCTGCTGGGGGAGGGAGCTGGGCCTCACGGAGGAGTGTGTGCTTCTACAGAGGTCCAGAGAAGAGCCCCAGAGAAGCAGATCGCCCCGAATGGCCACGTTTTCTTGCTTTGCATGGGAGAGTCTGCTAGGTACAAAGCAGTTGAGGGATGGAACATGGGGGTTTGGAAGCGTCCAGAGACCTGTCATGTTCCTACAGCAGCTTAAACTCCCGCCATCTGTGTGTGCCAGGGTGTGTTAATTGCTGAGCTTTTCTCACAGACTCAGGCATGCTTGGGGCAGGCCAGTGACTCATTATTAATGCAGCGAGGCCTCGGTGCCAGCGGAACCGCGTCGGGCATCGCTACCAGTAATTGGGGTGAAACGTTCTCCTCTTCCCGTCCAATTCTCACTGTCTCTGTCCTGGCAGCTTCACGAAAAGTTTGACCATCTAAAGAGGACTCACCAAGAAGAGAAGAAAAAAGTGGAAGACAAAAAGAAGGAACTTGAGGAAGAGCTGAACAACTTTCAAAAGAAGAAGGCAGCGGCTCAGCTATTACAGTCACAGGCTCAGCAGGCAGGTTCTCAACAAACCAAGAAAGACAAGGACAAGAAAAAGTAAGCGGATGTCACCCACATCCTTTGTAGGGTTTATTACAGTTTGGGAGGTTGTTTTTTCTTTCTTGCTGCATGCCTGTATTTGCTTTTCCCAATTACCAGACTGGAAACTGGGCTTTTATCAGCCTGATCAAATAAAATATTTTTTTCTAAAGGGTGGGCCAGGGACATGATCTGAATTTTTCTCCAGAAGAGTACCATCTAATTTTATGTTGAAGTCTGACTGGTATGGGAGAGCAGCTGGACGGTAGAGGTTTGACCTGTGATCTGTCTGGCATCTTCTGGAACAGCTCTGTGATGTTCTGGACTCAGATTTATCTGCCTGAGCCAAAATTATTAAGGGAGTCTCTACCCGTCCTTTCCTTCATCCAAGAGTAGTCTCCCATTCCCATTTCTCAAGGTTGCAGTTCTAAGTAGGAGTAGATGAGAAACTAAAACCACCATGCTATTTTTACATGGGAAATGCTACTGCCAAAAGTGAATACTTGGAAGCTTGCTTTGCAGACAAGAAGTTTTGTTTTGGTTTTGTTTTGTTTTGTTGTTTTTTTTGAAAAAAAAAAAAAAAATTACTATGGTACCATGATTGCAGGTAGATGGCATTTGTGGTTGTATCGAGTTGACATAATAAGCTAAGAAACCCATAGCTTTTAGTAAAGATAATGGCACTGTTTTCTACTATTTTATATTTGTATGCTAGGAGTATAATCCTATACCCTCCAGTAGTCTGAGATTCCAGCAACTAAATAGGCACTAAGTGTATCTGTGGACAGAGTCTGTCCCATGGCCAGTGTTTAGAGGTGGGACTTTCAGGTGTGCTCAGTTTGGACCTAGCTCTGCTTCTGTGGAAGCTGGAGGAGCATTGCCGTTGACTTGGGCTCAGACTTAAGTCACTGCTGAGCTCTGCTGAAAACCCTGAGCTCCGGATCGATCCAAATTGACGTAACCTCCTTCTCGCAGCCTGCACGTGGAGGTGGCTACTCTTAGCTTGCTGTTAGTGCAAGAGACCCCTATTTATTACATGATCCTGGCTACTTCACCGTGTTTTAAAAAACAAAACGCAAGGGCCACTTAGATGTGATACGTGCAGTGAAGCCAGACAAACCTTGCGGAGGTGAAGTAGACGGCGTGCGGCTTGTTTGTGTAGCGCAGCAAGGCAGGTTGCTGTAACGGAGGCTGCTTTGAGGCCTCCTGCCGTAATTCCCATTCGCTCTTTCCGCACCTAGTAAGGGGATACCCGTGCAAGGCCCTTCTGGATCATCTGTGGTAACGGCGCTAGCTGATAACTAGTTGGGAAAGCTGTAAAGATGGTAATGCAGCAAATCTCACTGGAAAGCGCTGCTTTAGCCCCCCCCACCGACAGTTCCACGCGTCTCTTAATAGCTGACAGCGAAGGGGTGCAATCCTTAGGCTCTGACGGGGTAACCTACTCGATGCACGCTAAGCCATCACTGCTGAAAGAACCAAAATGCTAGTAGGGATGCGGTATAGACACCTGTCTCCCTTGCTAACCTGTGAAGTTAAGCCAGGCCTGAGCTGCCTTACAGTGTGAGCCTCTGAGGTTCTGTCGTACGGCGTAGATACTCGTACCTTTTCACACTTCGGGAAGTTACGCTGACGCTCACTGCATGTCCCCAGTCTCTACTGCTGGTTCCGTGCCCGTCATTTGTTGCTTCTGCCCCTGGCTTCCCCGGGGAAGGTGGGGAGAGCACAGGGCCAGTTCCTCAGCTGATGTAAATTGATGTAGCTCCTATGGAGCTGTGCTGCTTTATGCTAACTGAGAACCTGGCCTTCGGCACCCGCTGAAATGCCTGGAGTGCTTGTGTGCTGCATGCTCTGCTTGGGTAAAGGAATCATTGCAGACCGATCAGTGTCGTGCTGAGCTGTAGAAACGGGACGTGTGGGCAGCTAACCTCCAAGCACACCGCAATACCGCTCTGCGACGACGCCCGTCAGCAGGACGGGCTGAAACACCGGTCTTCTCTCATGTGAGAATTCAGACATGGTGACCTGTTGCCAAAAAAGACGAGAAAATCTGTGAAGACCCTTTTTTCTTACCTTTTAAACAGAGTTGGTAGCTTAATATTTTTCAGAACTCTGCAGTCAGTTTTTTCACCTCTTAGATATGAGACCAGTGCAGTACGTAACGGTCTGGGGAGTTTTGTAACTTTTGTTAGTCAGTCTTAGCTACTACTTGCTTCTATGAAGTTGGCTGGCACATGCACAATGTTGTGGGTGTGATACATGGATGTTTCTAGCCACTGTGACAAACCCAGTTTCTGCTTTGCTGATGCATTCACAGAAATCCTGTCATGAGGAACGTGCACGTGTTTTAGTGTGTCCTGTCAGTGTTGCTCCACACCAGGTGCTGTAACCGCTTCAAATGTTCTTTAGTGTCTGAATTACTAACGGAGGCTTTAAAGGGAAATGCGGATGCTTCTGCCTGGTAGCACACCTTGGTTTTTCTAAAGGCTTTAAGTTTCTCCTTGCACGCTAACGAAAAGCTGCAGTTTGTGTAGGTAAGGCTTTCAACCTTTCTCTGTGCTGACATGGTGGTTCTTGTGCAGTTGCCAGAGGAAATCCTTGCCATGCACGATCCTTGTAGCCTCCCCAGAAATGAATTCATGGCAATGCTTTTTTCTCAAGGTGGGATCAGATTTCTCCAACTTGGACAACAGAGACTTTCTGCTGTGCTGTGCAAGCTGGAGGGAAGGCTTGGGGTGAAATCTGCTGCTGGCCAAACTCCATGAGGGAGAACTTGGCCCTTTGATTTCCAGACTATTCCCATAGGAACAACTTGTCTTTTTATACATTTTTTTTGTAATACATTTCTCAGATTCCTGTAGTTTATGCTTTTTTTTTTCATCTAAAATTGTTGCAGCTCTGGCCTGATGACAGAAATGTGCTGTTTTCGGGACAGCTCATCTGTGTACCTCAGACACTTGTGTGACTGTAGAATAGACACGTGCTCAAGTACTTCCCTGAATGTGGGGCTGAGCATACTTATCAAGCCCCCCGCCATAATTTCAGGATGGGACTGTGCTTCAAACCTGAACAATCTGGAGATGGTTCCTGGCAGTGGACTTGGCAAAACCAAATAGGAGCAGCAAATGGCCGCCTGGTGCTTGCCTGTTGTTTGGTAGATGGCCACATGCATGCCTCAACACATGCTGTTGTGTTACTAGCTCATCCTCAACCCCCCCCCCCCCCCCCCAGGAGCCGGGGCCATCTGTTTGGGCTCTGTTTCTGTTTATTTCAAGCTACTTCTGAAAACCAGATGAAAACCTTTTTTTTTTTTTTTCCCCGTTTCCTTTCAATATAGTAGTTTCCAGTCTGGTGTGACTGGTCTGGCCACCATGGGCCGTGCTTAGTCCCAAAGCAGTCCCTGAGCTCTAACACGCAGCCATGTCCTGAGCCGTAACACCCATTTCAGGTCCCGGCCCACCACCCTGTAACAAGAAGGGTTTGTTGCCGTCCGAAGGGTCTGACTTGGGTCTGAAAGCTGATGTGCTGAAGTGCTGGGAGACATGGGGGGTGCCCAGGGCTGAGAGGACCCGAGTTTGGGTCAAGGCTGAGCACGCAGCCTTCTGCAGGAGCGCCCGTGTGAAGTAACCCAAACTGGACACCTGCAGCCATCCCCCCCCAGCCACGCACATCCCCCAAAAATGAAGCTTAAAGACACCAACCGCTCTGTGGTTACAGAGTGTAACCTTGACTAACTTATGCGGTTGGATGTTCAGTACTTCTGCCCCCTCAGTTTTTCTTTTTGCTTTTGCTTGTCATAGGCTGGAGTAGAGCCCAGCCCTGAGGTTTGATTCCTTTATAATTCCATAATCCATCTGCATGCCCACCCACCAGAGCTGGTTGCTGGTGTTGGCTCTCCAAGCTTTCCTTGATTTTGTCTTGGTTTTTTTGGTTTTGTTTTTTTTTTTTTTTTTTCCATTTTGAGTTCAATTATTGCTAACTTTTTTGTTTTTTGTTCTTTTTTTAACTTGCAGTGCAAGCTTCACATAAAGCCTGTCAAGCCAAGGATGTTCCTGCATTCACCTGCTTTTGCAGTAATGTGTCTCTGCCATCTGTTTTCTTTCTTTTTTCTTTTTTTTTTTTTTTTTTTTTTCCCATTTTTTTTAACATGAATAACTATTAACTCATCTAATAACATAGTGGGAACAAGGAGGAGGAAGGATTGGGTACAGGACTGTATGCAACTGGAAGTTCAGGGGTGGGTGGAGGGGCAAGGAAACTATACCATGTATTTTTCTCATCAAAACCAGCAGCAGTAAATCATTCCTGGCCCCAAATTTGAACTGAGAGTCCGGGCTGGATGTCAGCAGCCCGGGTGAGCATTGTTGACTGGATCAGGTCCTCGGTGCTGCTGGCCTACCCAGCTCTCGGAGGGCTGGTAGCCGTAGCCCTGTGCTGAAGGGCTCCTTGGTTCTGCAGAAACCAGCCTCGGGGAATTCCTGCTCTACGAGGGTCACAGCCCAGTCCCCGGCGTGGCCAGACCCCGGGGTTTAGTCTTGACCCACGTTCCTTCAGTAGTTAATGCATTAGAGCAGCCCCAGTCCCGCTGCTGGGGGAGAGGGAGGGGGGTATGTGTGTATAGATAACAAAAGTTTAACTCACCTTGCATGCCATTACACTTGCATGATACTTGTGTTTATTAGTCCCTGGTTTTGTTGTCTGACTTGATTGTACTAGTTGGCTTGGATTTATTGTCATGTGCTGGCCTATTTTTACAGCCACCCTTCCAGCTCAGTGTAGTAGCTACCTGCTGAACACTGCGGTGGGAGCTGAGCGGCCGCTGCAGGTGCCTGGGAGAAGGACCATGGCTGGTTACTGCTTTCCATGTATTACTTGCCTGACCGTAACCTTTGAAACCTCACTTAAAATAGTACCCGGTTTCCAATGTGCACAATCTTAGCAAGACTTAGCAGCCCTTTTGGCATCAAATGCCTGGGCAGGGGGGGAGGACGTAGCCTCCGGGAGGATTCCTGCACACACTTAAGCACAGACTTCAGAGCTGCGGGATCCCGAATTTCATGTGAAGGGAGAGAGGGTGCCCGGGCACACATTCCCCGTGCTTCCTCCTCCCCAGCCCTCCGGCACCACGGGCAACGTCCCATCTAGACATCCCTCGAGCATGCAAAGGAGATTTAGTGCAAGCCAGGCCCCGCTCTGTGGCCAGTGCGGGGTGGAAATGGGTCTGTTTAACGTGCATTTTCTATGCCATCGCTTTTTGGATAGAGTCTTCTCTTCCTTCCCAAGAAGTGGCGAGCCATGCTTACCTTCCAACTTCTGCATTTCTTTCTCTTCTGCTGATGTTCAGCCAGCGTTTCCGCTGCTCCTAGCTAAGTGGTCTGTTTCTTTCTTTAAAGCATTCTTAAAATAACTCTTTCCACCTAAGTCTCATGCACTGCAGTTCTTTGCTTGTTTCCAGCATAGAATTTCTTTCCTCTCTCGGGGGGGGGAGGGAAAAAAAAAAAAAAAAAAAAAAGGCAGAATTATCATCTTTTCTGAAGTATTGGATTGGGAAGTGTGTCTGGGGGTTAGCTTTTGGGTTGTCTTGCTTTTTAACCCTTGCTGCTTAAACATGGCTTTGGGAAGAAGATATCTAAATATGATGTCTTGGACAGACAGCAAAAATTGATTGGAGATAAAGAAGTTGGAAATAAAGTAGTTGAGCCTTTTCTGTTTTTTTCTTCAGTTGTTTTGTTGTTTTTATTTTGTTTTGTTCTGGTTTGTTTTGTTGTTTTTGTTTTGTTTTTTTTTTTTAATCACACCTCCTGGTTTTATCAACCATGATGCACTTTCTGTCAAGTTACATAGGTTTGCTATGGGGTTGTTTGGAAAAATGAAACTATGGTTCTGGTGGCTTCTGGCAATCCCGGCTTTAAAATTTTGACTTATCAAGGAAGAAATTTGGTTCTTGGCATGAGGTTTTTTTTACAGTCGCATCATATGCACATCACTGAATGCTCATGGCGGTATGCTTTGTTTCAGCTGTCTCTGTACATGTCCTCTTTTTAATTACCAGCATATTGTGCCAAGTAGAAAAAATTTTAACATTTATTTTTCCTGCTTCATTTAACAGCCCTTTCAAGGGATGCTTGGCAGGGGAAATCAGCTGAGTCTAGCTATATATATTTTAAAAGAATTTTTTTTTTTTTTTTTAACAGAAAGCTGTGACCAAGTGCATCAATGTATTTTTGGTTGAGTTTCTTTCTCCAGCAAAAAGCCAGCTGTTTTGTAGAGAAACCAGGAATAAACGGTAAACTTGCAAAAGCTAAAGGTACTGGTTGTTTTTTTGCCGAAGGAGATGTTAATGACTTTTTTTCTCCTTGACCCCCCTGGGCCATGTTTAGCCTGTTGCTGCTGCACTTATTTCTTTTCTTTACTTACGCCTTTTTTCACAGTAGCCCCTGACTCTGCATGGAGTAAATGATACACTCAAATCTAGTTGGATGCGCTTCCACCTTTGCATGTAAGTACAGTAGTAAGGGACTCACCATTTCTGCCTCACTACTGACATGAAACCAGGTGTGTGTTTCTGGGGAGTTCTTTAAGTCCGCTTACTTACGAGTGGCACGGTTAAAGCGACTTGAAAACTTTCTGCAATAACCTGCTTTTGCCGAGAGGTTGCCGAGAGGCCGTAGGGAGCACGACACCTTGCTGGAGCGGCTCTGCAGCCTCGGACGTGCACTGGGCAGCGATGGTAACGGGCTGCCAGGTCCTGGGGCGGCGTGCCAGCCGTAGAATAATGTAAAGGAGCAGGAAGGCACGCGTAAAGGTGTGTTTTCTGGGTTGAGGGTGTGCCCGGGGCCTGGGATGAGCCCCAGGAGTGGGAAAACGAACCAGAGGGAGGTCGCTGAGAGGGGCGGCGGGTGCTCTGTAGAGGTGGGCACGCGTGTGTCTGGCAGCCAGCCGAAAAGGCGGAGGTGACTAAGGGTTCGCTCCCCCCAAACCTCGCTGGGGTCGCCCACTCGCCTTCCGGGAGGGCAGTAAGAGGGGAGGAGCCCGGGGAGCCTGTGGCCGTTAAATGCATCGCCTTGCATCTCCTGCGGCGCGGGGTGCTGCCGGGGAGGGGGGAGCAGTGACTGGCACCCACCCCCGGCTCCTCTGCTGCCTGAGAACTGCAACTCGGGTCAAACCCTCTGCGCCCCTTGGACGGCTTGAAGTCCCGTCAAGGAGATGCATATCTCTGTGTCTCTCTTTATCCACGTCTTTATTTAACATGACCAGTGTTTCTCCGGGTAGCTCTCATTCTGCTTCTCCTAAAATGTCCAAGTGAGAATGGAAATGTCTTTTTGTGTGTGATCATATCGGATATGTCCATTTGAATCCAGTTACCGTTTGCCCTTCTAAGATGTTACAAGAGTGTGTATTTGTCTCTTCTCCGAGGACCCTGGTTGCATTTGCAGTATACGATGTCCGTGATGCTCTCATCAGCGTGTATCAGCATGGAACTGTACAAATATTATGAAGGGTTTTTTTAATTAACAGAAAATAAAGCTGTGAACAGCGGTAGAAATATTGTATTTGTATACATTTTTAATATCCTGATTGCCTTAAACTATAGATGTAGAACTTTATTACCTTGCTATTTGAAAATAACCCATGTTTGTAACTAAATAATTGTGTAACCTACATACAGTGTTAATGCAAATTATATGTATGCATCTGTTAGATATTGTCACTTTATTTGATGTTAAAAATATTTCAGTTTTTGAATTACAAATTGAATAACCTTATAGCATAAGCTCAGTTATTTCTTGTACATGCTTTAGGTTACATATACAAATAGTGCCAACACTTGAAGTGGGGAGAGGAAATATATTTTTACCCAAACGCTTTGGTCTTCACGTGGCCTTTGAGACTTTGTTCCGCTGTTGCCATCTTGTAACGGTGCGACAAGAGGGGGCTGAGGAAATAACGGGTTTCCCGACAGGTTGTTTTGTGCCTTTGAGATGCCTCTCTAGGTTTGTGCTGGTGTTTGTCAGTCGCTTCTTGTGGTGGTTGTGAGCTTGTTCTCCAAACCAGTCGGTGTCTTGAAGAGGTCCAGGCCTCTCTAGTGTATTTGGCTTGCATGGCGCCTCCTCAGTGCACTCTTCCATTCAGGTCTTCCTTTAAAATGTTGTTCCTCCTTTTTTTTTTTTTCTTTTTTCTTTTTTCTCTCTCACTTTTTCATTTCAATTCTGAACCTCCGTGTCTTTTCTTTTCTGTTTTTCTCTTTTTCTGTAGCTTCTTCTTTATGTAACCATCATCTTGCCAAAGCCCCCACACCCTCTCTCCCAGTGGACAGTAGGGCACTGGAAGAGCCTGCGGCCACGAGCACCCCCGCCAGGAGAAGAGCCATCTCATTCTTCCGTCACGTCTGCCCTTCTCTCCTTCCCTTTTTGTTTGTCACCTGTGCGTCGCGTCTGAGGGTGCGCTGTGCCATGTGTCTCTGTGCGGGATCTGTCTGCTCCCGGCGCGTCTCCGACAGAATTGAGGCTACCAAAAACGACAGAGGTAACGGCTGGAGGAGAGACCTTGGCCATAATGTGAGATATTGCACTGGGTTAGGTGGCCTTTGGTTTTGTTCAGGTATTTTTATTTTTTCTCCTCCCTCCCCATTATCTTTCCTTCTGCCATAATACGCACGTGTTGCTGATGACAAACAAAATGACAGACTGTGGGTGAGGGCGAGTGTGCCCAGCCGGAGGACTCCACTCCTGCCTCCAAAGATCAAGTCTGGCTGCTTTGGACACCACGACTTCACCACAAGTATGTCCTGTGCTCCTCTGACATGTGCTGAAAATAAGTCCTTAGGCCTAGGTGACTTCTTGTTTTGCGTGTGCAGCCGCGTGAAGTGGAGGTGGCCGGCGTTGCGTACTGTTGCACTGATGGAGCCTGTGCTGGACAGTCACGGCCTTATTTTCTGGCTGATCTGCCTCTGTACGAGCAAAGTAGGTATCTCTTCTTCTACAGCCGAGCTGCACTGACTTGTGCTTGGATTGAGGACTTTTTTATTTTCATGAAGCCAAATTAGCAATTAGTTTTTTAAAAAATCCTGAATGTGGGATAGTTGTTAAACTTTCTAACTTCCTTACTTTGGAAGTGAAGTCAGTCAAAACGCCTGAGAAGAGCCAGAGTGCTGCTTGAAGGTGAATGCAAAGCTCGTAAGCTTGGTGTGTAGTGACCTCTAGCTGGTTTGGGATGGATGGATGGAAGGAGACAGCCTGATCCTCTCAGGATGTTTTTTCATATAGGGTGATGCACTTTTTTTTTGTTTGTTTTTTAACCGAATACTGGTGATTTAGTCTTTCCATCTGTGAACTTTAATCAATGAATTTACCTCCTTTAACCTGACATCAAAAGGGTACTATTAAATCATCTAGATTTTGCCTCTGCCAATCTGTGAGTGAAGCGCAAGCTGCCAAGGGTCTCTGCTGAAATCTGCTGGGTTGTTTTTTATTTTTTTTTTTCAGAAGCACAATATTTTTCAGCACTCTTCAGTGACAAGGGTTAGATCACTATAAAGTAGCAGAAAAACTGTTCACTCTGGAAGCCTTTGCAACCAACTAAGTGACTTCATAGATGCAGTCGGAAAGATTATTGAATATTGGCCTTGTGCAGATGCTGTAATGATTTACCTCATATGTAAATGGAATTGCTGACCGTTGCCCAGACTGAAGGGGTGTGACTGTTTGCACAAATGTAGCTTAGGACAGAATTTGCATTCATACCAAAAAAAGAGAGCCTGCCTCGTTTTCCAGGCTTCGGTGGTCTCAGCTGGTACCAGCCCAGGGTCTGCTCTCCAGCCACCAGTGCTTCCCATGAGACAGCCAGATCTAGAAAACTTTTCACATTCTGTGGACAAAACGTTCAGAATCTTTCACGTTCTGAGGACAAAACCGAGTAGCTAATGCCTCATGGGTTGAGGCCTCGAGGGTATTGATGAGTTAAGCCTTGCCTGTGTTAATTCCTCTCTTATTCTGCAGAACTCCGGGGGTGCTCTGCTAACTGGGAACAGGTTGCACCACTTGGAGGAGGGAATCCTCCTAGTTCTGACAGGGCTTAGACAGCAGTGCACCAGGCCACCCATACCTAGCAAAAAGCAGCAGGTCAAGCCACGTATTTTTTGAAATCGGTCATTTAACTTTGCAGCCAAGGGCTGCAGCGGGATTGGGGCGCGCTGCTCCTTGAGCCACCCCTGTGCCTCAGGCGGGGCGAGTGTCGCCTCCAGCCCAAGGTCTCTGTGCATGAAGGCGGTCGCTGTTTACCAAGAAAATGTTCTGCCCATTAAAACACCCTGTTTACGAGTGCTGTGTCTTTTTTTTTTTTTTTTTCAGCGCTGGCACCTAGGCCAGTCTGCAGCGTCAGGGACCACCGCCCCGGGCCTGGGGGGTCTTCTTGTGGCTCATCTGTGCAACCCCCCTCCGTGGTAGCCTCCGAGTTGCCAAACCACCCTGCTGGTTACTTGCCCAGAGGCCAGCCCACCCGCCGGATGGCTCCTGTGGCATCCCGTGCGGTGAGACCCTCCCTGGTGCCCCTGTTTTGGGGAGGGAGTCCTCTCCTTGTGTTTCTCTCATTCCTTGGACTTGTTTTTTTTTTCCATTTAAAAATTGCAGCGTGGGTTTTTCTGGTGGTAGGAGTCTAGCCTGTCCAATCCCACCATGGTGCTGTAGCCTCCCTCTTGAAATCGTCAGTCACACATTATTGCTTAGCTCACGATCGTGGATGGGCAAAGAGCTATTCTGCAGGGCTGTACCTCGTGTCAGGTCACCCGTGTTTTGCTGATGACAGTGGCATGGGACCCAGGCTCAGTCGTGGGTGGCTGGGCATCATTAACTGCAATTAAGGAGAAAAAGCACTAGTAACCCCATCGTCTGACCCGTGTAGCTGTGCCCCGTGACTCTCTGGAATCTTGTGTGTGACAGCAGGAAGTCACGGCCAAATTTGCAGGTCGGCAACACTGAAGAAGTATCCTGACAGGCTCCCATCCGCCGGTCAGCCCTCGGCTTTTCAAGCAGATCTCAAGATCTTGACTTCCAGGGCTTTTCTCCCACCCTTTGCAAGTGTTGGGCTGCACTGGAGGAGGTGGTTCCTCATCAGCTGGAGGGGCTCAGGGCCAGGTGACCCACCAGCAGTGCTGCTGTGTCAAGAAGGTTTGAAGAGGGGCAAAACGCTTCTGTTGGTTGACTTCTAAACTCCCAATATAATTTTTTTAGTCAAGTTTTCTATAAAGAGAAGCTGGTGGGCACAAACCAAATGCCAGCACTTAAGGGAACTGCCTTTATTTTGCAGCTCTAGAGTGTTGCTGTGCTGGTGCCTTGAGTCCTGCAGGCACCTTCTTGCCTCCAGAAAGACGTAGTGGAGTTAGAGAAGGGCACTAATGATAAATGGGACGGAGCAGCAGCCTGCCAGGTGAGACCGCAGAGGTTTGGAGGCCTTGGTTTGGGGAGGGAAAGGCTGAGGTGAGAGGGAGGGTCAGCCCTGCTGTGAGCTGGAGGTTGCGGCAGATGTCCTCTAGAGGTCCCTTCCAGCCTAAATTTATTTGTGTTTCTGTGTTATAAAATCTGCTAAGCTGTGATGATGGTGCATGCCGACCTGCTAGTGACCAAATGGTCAGAACTAGCCCCCCAGAGGGGCACTTAGAAGGGAATGGGCTTAAAAGATGGAGTGAGTTTCTTACAGAGCAGGTAGCAAACTTCTGGAATTTGTTGACCCAGACAGATGGTATCAGTAGAAGAGCTTAGAGTGGGTTGTTTGGGTTGGGGGTTTTTTTTGTTTTGTTTTGTTTTGTTTTTTAAAAAAAAAAAAAAAAACAAAAAAACCAAAAAAACAAACGTAAATTCATGGGAAACTGAGCCATGAGGAATTTTAAAGTGGGGCAAAAACGGTGAAACACCCGACATTGATAGCGTGGTGGAGGTGGACACTGGGCCGGAGGGAGGGGAGCAGCGCAGGGAGCGCGTAGGGGCACTGCGAGCGGCGGGGGCAGCCGGGCACGCGCGTCGGCCGGGGGGGCTGAGCGTGGCGGGGGTCCCCCGGGGAGGGATGGCGACGTGCCCTTCGGCTCGCCTCCTCCGCGGCAGGCGGCCGGCGGGGCGAGAGGTGTCGGCTTGGGGGGGGGGGGGACACACACAGCAGCGTGAGACCTGTCGTGTTGGGACAGTCCAGGGAGGTTATTTGTCACTGGGTGTCGCCGAATGTCCCCCCGCTGAGCTGGGAAAGCTGCTTCACCCGCAGGAGCGGGTGCCCGAGTTTATAAGCACGCTTGTGGGCTTAACCCTCCTGTTGCTGCTGGAGGGTGAAAAACAAACTTGCAGGGGCTCCCAAACCCCAGAGCTAGGAACAGCTCCCAGGTTGGGGCTGGCTCGCGGTGCGCCGGCGGGAGAGGCCCGAGGGGGCGACCCACCAGCTCCTCGAGGAGCGAGCATCTCGCCCACGTTCGGCCCCTGCAGGTCTTGCGTGAGAGAGAAACGCTTCGTGAACGGTCCCCCGAGCTAGGTGAGGTGGAGGAGGGCTATCAGCATCTCCCCGAGGCAGCGCCGTGGAGAAAATGGGCGAGGGGGCTGCTGCTCTCGCATCGCCGAAGCAAACCCTGCGGGGGCACTGGGGGAAGACCAGGGTGTTGCAGGGAGGAACGGCCGTGCGGTGTGGGAAGGTGAGCGGGGGTTACTGCTAGAAGGCACTTGAAACGAGTAGCAGCGCTCTGCTGAAACGCGGCTGCCGGGCAGCCCTGGGTTTTGGGGGACCGTGCTGAAGGAGTAACACGCGTGGGTTTATGAACGCGATGGTTTTTACCCCAGTGCTCGTGAGGGACGTGAGGCAGCAGGGAACTGCAGGACTCCTGCCTTCACCGCTCTGGGCCCCACTAGAACGGGCCGACCCCGCGCTTGGCGTCTTCGGCAGGTCCGTGGCATGAAGCCTCGGGGTGCTGTGAAGCTTTTGGGGAGGCCCCACGACTGTGAGGAGTCGGAGGCATCAGGAGATGTTCTCCTGTGGGGAGCGGGGAGCCCTGGCAGGGCCCCAGGACGGTCCTGTGCTCTGACAGCGGGAGCAGCTCACCGCCAGCCTGCTGCTGCGCGGGGGGGCCACGTTCGGGCTGCATCATCACCCGGGGGCTTTGCGGGGAGGGAACGTGGGAAGTGGGAAATGGTTTTTCCTCTCGCTGGCAATGCAGGTTGCTTCCAAACCAGCTGCATCTTGCTACACGGGGGAGCTGATGTTGCTGGGACGTGCCTCATTTTGAAAGGCACGCCTGTCTTTGAGCATCGCTTCAGCTGTGAAACACCATAAATCTGTCCACCAGTGAGCCAGCGGTGCAGACCCGCGTTCCTTGGGCTCCTCCCCGGCCCCAGCTGGCCCGGCACGCAGGCGGCCGCAGCACCCGCAGCGGCAGGAGAGCCCCAAAGCCCAAGACCACCTCGTGACGTTGCTGCGGTCGCCTGCGGAGGCTCGTGTGCCAGCTCTGGGCTCGGAGAGCTTGGGCTGGCCGGTCCCCGAAGCCGCAGTTGGCACGTGGCGGGGGGGGGTGAGCTGGTGCACGCTACGCCTGGCTGCGCGTGGCCCACGGCTCGCTGCAGAGCCCGGGCGCCTGCACCTGGGGCGTGGGTGGCTCCTGAAAGGGAATCCCTGCACCCTCCCGCGGCCACGCACCCAGAGGGGGCAGCCAGGCTCCTGGGTGGGTCAAGGCACCACAGGGACAACCGGGGGGTTTCCTTAGCGGGTGCGTTCCGTACGTGGTGGTGGGTTGAAAGGGCGTGTTGGAAACTGGGGTGTTCACAGCGAAGGGAGAGAAGAAGGAAAGAGACAAGTTCAAGCAGCGCGTTTGCAGTGGCGAAGACGGGGTTTTTTTTTTTTTCTTTTCCCATCCAGAAGAGCAGAAGGCAACAGGGTGGTGCTGGGCAACACAGCCCCAGAGCTGGCCCACAAGTGTCGCAGGGCCTGCGGGAGGACAGCTGGGCCCCAGCCTGTCAGCAGGACCCTGCAGAGGTAGGTCTACCCCACACGGGCCGGGTTTTGGCTGTCTGAACCTTGCTTTGTCAGTGGAGTTGCCTGTATCCAAGCAAAAGACCCATCGGTGGGGATGCGTGTGTAGCGCCGAGAAAATAAAAAGGCAACCTGCTCAACCTGGGGCTGGGGGATCGCCTGTGCGTTCGGGGCTTGGGAGCACGAAAGCTCCCGTGGCAGCGAGGGGCGGCCTCGGGTCCTGCCTCTGGAGGGATCGGCTGAGTCAGCCCCGCGGCGCAGCACGGGGAGGCTCCGAGGGTTTCTGGGCACTGACCCTGCCCAGCGTTGCTCTTAATACTGCGAGAGCCAGGAGTCACACTGTGTTTATCGAGCAGAGATCCAAAGGCAGTCGATGATACGGTAAAATCAACTGACTGCCAAGCTACTTCCCGCTAGAGAGCTCCCCGCCGCTTTGCCACAAAAAGTTGCTGCTTTTCCTCAACGCGCTGACAAAAAAAAAAGAGGCTCCTTTCCTGCGGGGCACCCAGGGCTGAGACACGCTCAGCACAGAGCTCTTGGGGCAGCGCAGGACCTGCTCCTCGCCCGTCGCTTTTGGGGAGGAGAGAGCAGCGAGAAGGAAAACTCCTCTCACCAAGCAACTTAGGGCCGTGGCTGCAGCGCATCTGTTAGGGAAGAACTGCTCCAGCAGCACCTCGCTCTCCCTCCATACGCCCGGCTTCCCTCCCTTCTGTCCCAGCACAAGCGAGCACCTTCCTTTTCCCAGCCCCACGCCAACTCCCCTCCTTGGGTGCGCCTGCAGAGGGCTTTGGGCTGTATTCCTCCCCGGTGCCCGTGTGCCCACGCTGCCAAAGTGGGGCGGGGGAACGTGTCCTTTCAGCTGGGAGGGGGAGAGAAGCCAACGGAAGGCAAGGCTTAGCTCTGTCGCTGTGGGATGCTGCTGCTGCTGCTGTGGCGCTTCGGTCCTCGCCTTCTCTTCTCCCCCCCGCTGCGCCGCGCGTCTTGTACTGCTGGAAGCCAACTGGAACAAGCTGTCGTCCCGCAAAACTCTCTCCACGGGTTCGTACGGCGCAGGCCACTGCTGTTGGCGGAGTGACGAGAGTCCTGGCTCACCTCTCCCTGACGGCGCGCGTGGCCGGAGCTTCTAGGCAACCGCTCCCTTCGGGATCAGCGGGACGCTGGGAATCGCTGCTGGCGTGTGGCAAGACCCCCCCTCCCGCCCCAAAACCGCGGCTGCTGAGGGGTGCCGAAAGTCACCTGGCTCTCATCCTTGCCCTGCTGACATCGTTGGACCTTAGCGTTGGGAATCGGGGCAGTGGTTGTTACTCAGAGCTGCTGCGCCGTGGGATTTAACGGAGAGAGGCACGTGCTGGGTTTGAGGCAGCGAGCGCTGGTGTGGCGGGGGTGCAGCCCCGAGCGCGCGCGGCGGAACTGAGCGCTGGCAGGAGAGAAGAGGCCTGAGGATGACTGGAAGGGAAGGAAGGCGCGCACCCCTTTGAGGAAGGCGGCCTCGGGAGGTGGTTTCCAGGACACGGGGGCAGGAAGAAAGCTGCAAACGGGAGGAAAGTTTGTCACGGCCGACTGTGCGGAACAAAAAGGGCAGCAGAGACGTGAGGCAGAAGGGGCCGGCTCTGCCTGAAGCGCACAAGATATAGGCCAGGCGGGAAGATGGTGACAGAACAGAATCCATTCTGTAATCCATGAGCTTCCAAAGAGCAGAGGCGAAACCTGGACTAACCTTTGCGTTACCAGATGTGGGTTTCAGTGGAAGGGATGTCAGGCAAAGCAGGAATCTACAGCCAGCCTGGGTGTGGGAAGCCGGACTCGCCCGCTCTCGGGCTAGGAAGATGATGGTTGCAGGACAGGCGAGATGGAGCAGGGTGCCAGCCACGCGCCGCGGCCAGTGCTCCGCTGGGCAGGGAACAGCCGGGGCACCGAGGAGGGACCGAGGGACGCCGGAGCTGTGGCTACAGCTGGACCCGCTCTACAGGCAACGAGTTCCTGGCACCCCGGCCACCCCGCCCCGAGAAAGCTGCTCTCTGGCAGGGAGCAGCTCCCGTGCAGCCTCCGGGCACAAACCGATCCTGGACTGGGGCGAAAAGCACAGGAGGAGACTCGGAATCCAGGACAACTTTCTTTATTGCTACCAGAAGGCTTTCATCAGTACAATGGCTCCAAATACGATACCTTCCTCAGGGCTGTGGAGAGAGCTTACAATTGGGACAGGTCATTGTGAGAAACAGAGGTGTAACATTTAAGAGACAAGTTTTTAAAGGTTTTACTCTTGGTTAGAAGTGACAGGAACACAAAACTTTAGGGTTAGGGTCTTTTTGGTTTGGTTTTGTGGCTGATAATTACACACCTTTCAAACCCCAGGCGGACGTGGCTGCCCCAGCACCTCGCGGAGCAGTGCTGGTCACACGCTAAGCTTAGAAACATACGGGAAAAAAAAAGAGACTCTGCAGAATTTAAGGTTTCTGCTTGACATCGAGAGTCGAGCATGGGTGAAAATCTACACTGAGTGCAATGTTCCTTGGTGCAAACAAGAGAAAAAAAAAAAAAAAAAAAAAACAGAAAAACCAACCAAAAACATTTTTGTTCAAGTGATACAAGATCCATTAACTGCTTTCTGTGTTTGAAAATGCAAACTGTTTTAACTTGGTGAAGTCTCTGCGTAAGGTACAGAGCGCAGTGGCCGGCTGCCCTCGTGTTCTGTGGCTGTTACTGAAGTGCAGAGCAGCTTGCAAGTGTTGGGCTTTTTTGTGTTGTTTTGTTGTTTGTTTTTTTTTTTTTTTTTCCCTGACTAACCTTTTCTTTAAATCCAGTTTTTAAATATTATCACATTTAAACACCAAAGTGCTAACAAAACAAAAAAGGTCTTTTTCTTTCGAAAGGAAAAAGAAAGCTGAGGTGAGGGTCAGGTAGTACAGAACATCATGCACAAGACTTGCTGAGAATTAAAAGAGGAGCGAGAGGAGAGAGCACGGAACAGATGGAATTCGGACCAGAGAGGTGTTAGTTGGCTGGGAAACCTGGAACAAGCCTGCACGGCTGATGTGAGCTCTGGGAGATGGAGAATGGGTTACAATACACAGGAGCAGAAAAACAGTAGAACTGACAACACTAGAAAGAAACAATTTTTTGCTACTTTTTTTGTTTGGTTTTTGGGTCTTTTTTTAGATTTTTATACTTTTTTGTGTTTTTAAGTGCTTAAATAGTGGAACTATAATTAGCCGCACGAGAAAAAAAATTCAAAAAAGGGTTGGGATTTTTTTTTTTTTTTTTTTTTTTTTTTCCTTTTCTGTTTTTTGGCTCCCTTCAGTTCAGCCTGACAAGGTATGGCCCCTTTCCCCCCCCCGCGAGGCCGGGATGCCGGGTTCCGCGTGGTTTCTGGCGGAGCTGTGGCGCAGCGGGTGGTGCCTGCTCACAGCTACATCACAGACACCGGCTGTAAAGGCGGACAAGGGGAAACGTTGCCCTCCTGCCTCGAGACGTCAGCGCCACACGCAGAGCCCACGTTTTCAAGCGCCACTACCTCCGGAGCGGTGTCTTCGTTGTAGAGACGCTTGATCCCATCGTAGAAGTCGTCCACTTCCATCTCTTCCACTTTACGCTTGGCAGAGGCTTGCTTGCACCCGCTGGGAGCTGGCAGACGCTGGTAGAGCGCGGCTGTACCTGTGACTGGCACTTCTGGCCCGCCGTTGTCCTTGGAGAACCCCGGCCCTGGGACAGAGGAGGGCTGGCGTTTGAACGCTCCTCTGTTACAGGTCACCAGGGTGTGCTGGAGGGGACTGTAGACATATACAGAGTTGGGCAGCAGAGAAGGCTGCAGAGTGGAAAGGTGATGTGCCACCAGCTCCCGGCAGTGGATCAGCTGCGAGCTATCCATCTTGGGGGGGGGGGGGGGGGGGGGGAAGACAAGCAAAGACACAGGTGTTGTGGGATGGCTGCCACGGCCGGGGGAGGCTGCCGGCGGGGCAGGGCCGGGGCTCCCACCACCTTCAGCAAGCGCTGAAGGACCGAGAAAGCCCCCGCCACGCCGCCTTTGTGAAGTGCAGAGCCCTCCCCGCCGCGCTGGGCGGTGCCAGCACCCCCCCCCCCCCCTCACCAGCACCCCCATCTCACCTGGGCCTCCCGGAGCAGCTCGATGATGAGAGCCAGCCAGTCGGGGAGCAGCTTCTCCAGCTCCAGGCTGACGATGGCCAGCGCCAGCATGGAGCCCTTGAACTGCAGCAGCTGGTAACAGGCCATGCAGTGCAGCAGCTGCTTGGTGAGCGCCGCCACGTGCTGTGAGGGACTGGGCTTGGGCAGGATGGTCAGCAGCTGAGGCCTGTTGGACACCGCAACTGCGTGGAACTGGGGAGGAGAGCGGGGAGAAACAAGCGCGTGAGGCAGCTGGCGTCGCCCGCGGGCAAGGCCAGCTCGGACCTCGCGACACGCTGGGATGCACGAGGAACCTCTAGCTCTAACCTTCAAGGCATTTTCCATGCCATGGGGAAAAAAAAAAAACAACAAAAAATAACAAAACAAAACAAACAAAAAAAAAACCAAAAACAAAAAAAAAAAGACAACAAAAAAACCCAAAAACAAACAAACAAACAAACAAAACAAAAAAAAAAAAAAAAAAAAACCCAAACCCAAGGCGTTGACCCCACCACCGGCTTGGCACGGCCTTTCTGGCGCGACCTGCTGCCATCCACATCAGCTGCCTGGGGCGCGGGCTTCTCGGGGCCCTGCCAAAGGCTGTCCCCAGCCACCCTTCTCAACAACACAGGTCTGGCAGCTCAGGTGTCCTAGACAAAAACTCCTTCTCGAGCGAGTGGAGAAACTCAACAGGGAACCTCAGGAGACTTCCACTCCCTTTGTCGTGGCTCATCCGTGAACGCGGCTCTCTGGCCGTGCCATGCTGTAGCCAGTGCTTTCTCCTCGGTTCTACTCAGCGGGTTTGTGCTGCCTGGCACTTCGCTCTGAGCAAAACCACCAGCAGTCGAGACTCAGGGGCCAGGTTGTCAGGAGCTGTGAGTCCTAGCATGTGGCTTAACATTGCTCAGAACAGGCCGGATGGTCAGCTGGCAGGCCCACGTTTTGGAAATGGTGCCTGAAGCGTCACAAGTATCATCTGAAACACTCTGGCAAGGCTTTTTCTTTCAGAAATTACTTGGACGCAGGCATTACGAACACATCCTGAGGCCTTCGCTCTCCTACAGGCAGAGTTTTTGTCTAGGTACCTCTTGATACATTACTTACTTACACCAAGACAACAAAGTATGTAAATAGCCCCTTACAATGTGAAGGAAATCCAGTGGTGTTGCCATGTGAAGATCCCAGTTCAGTTTATCCAGGATAATCTTCTCCATTCTGCGAATTTCAGCTGGAGAACAACCACAAAAGCTATCCCGAGCCAACACCTTCAGTACTGGAATCCTCTGTAAAAGCCAATGCAAAAAAAGAAACGAGAAAACCAATCATTATAGAAATCATGCAAAACGCTTCATTCCTGTCCCGGCAAGCGTCAGCCACCACGTGCAAGCAAAGGCAGGACTGGAAGAGTGTAAATTCAGACAATGCTAAGGTAGTAAGAACAAAAAAATTACCTCATCTTCCTCGATGGTCTTTGCAGCAAGGAAGAAGCAGCTGATTGCAATACAGTTCAAGTACTTTGGACGGGCCTAGGGTAAGGAAGAGCAGAGACGTCTCTGTGTGACTGTCATACCAAAATTATGCCTAATTCTTTCTGGCCGGACACCCTGAGCCCCAGGGTCGGGGCTGCCCACGCAGCGTGTCCCGGATCAGCAGGCTGACCCCCAGCTCCGCCGCCGCGGTGGCACAAATCCCTCCTCCGCGACGTACGGCAGAAGAGGGATCTGCCGGCCCCGGGACAGTACCTGTCCCTGCTTAGGGAAAGTATAAAACTCCCCCCCCCCCCCCCATAAAAACTGCCACCTGTAATTTCGCACTGCAGTTCCCCAGAGTGCGGCCCGGGGATTATCGAGGGGGAGCTGGTCTTTTCTGCAGCGAATTGTTTCAGGCGAGGTAAGAGAAATTGGGAGGGGGAAGGGTGATTTAGCACGTGCATCAAGCACTCCTTCCGCGGGCCTCGGCCGGGGGGGTGAGGAGGGAAGCCGGGCTGCACGGGCCGTCAGTGCTCAGACCATCCCTGCGCTGGCCCAGGCTAAGCACACGCGCCGTGAACGTGGCCCAGCCGCTGGGAGTTTTTGCAGCGACCTCTCCCAGTCTGACTGACGAAGGACTGACCGTGCTTCCACCGTCGGCACAAAAACCACGGGAGGTGTCCAGCTGGAACCTCTTCTGCCTGCGCTGGGAGATGCCGCAAGCCAAGGTAAGGGAAAATAAATCCTGCCCTGAATGTGAAAGTCTGCCTACAGCCTCAACGGCTGCCGTGGTTTATACTCGCTGGGTGGATTTTAGTAGATGTGACAGAGCTTAGGGGGTGGTCGAAGCCGGTTAGATGCTGCACGTTACACTCATGCAACGATGAGCTGTCAAGAAATGCAGAGCACTGTTTCCAGAAAGCACCCAAAGAACATGGGATTGCGTCCAACTTGAAGATTTTTACCTACATTCAGCCTCACTTATGTAAAAAGGGCCGTGCTACGCCTGGAGCTTTGGCTTGTGGTGCCACTTCCATTTCAATACGCCCTCACCCTTGGGGGCAGGGGGGGCTGCCTGCGCAGGTCTGCTTGTGCAGTCAGGTGTCACCGAGAGCCAGGAGACCGAATTCCCTTAGGGCAGGACTGGCACTTGTGCTTGGCCACAGCAGGCAGGTTCAAACAAAACTGCTGAGTTGGCACCAAGTAATGTTCAGCAATAAGACGCCTCCTGCTCTGCGTACTGGGAACAGCTGGTGTCTAGAGCAGGTTCCTACACTCAAGGAAGCTTATTCTCCCCATTATTTTTAACAATAATCGTGCTTCCTCTTTTTTTTTTTTTTTTTTTCCCCCCCCACATGCCTCCCCTCTAGAGACTGACCTGGGGGGAGCAGCTGTCTCTTGCCCAAGCGTATTAAAACCCAGTCACCCATCCTGGGCTCCTCCGGGAGCCTCTCCCTGCCTCGCCCGCTGCCCGCACGCGCTGCCGCGCCGGGCTGCAACCCCCACCTTGCTGAGGGCTGGACACTGAGCTATCTCGGTGTGTGCATGGTGAAGGGAAGGGACAAGTTGTCTTAACAATAAACTCCCACACGGTAGCGCATGGTAAAAAAAAAAAAAAAAACCAAACAAAAAAAACCCCAAAGGAGTTAGTTAAGCTGCACCGGCGGGATGACAGCTTTCTGGGGGAGGGAGCACAAAGCCCTGAGCTGTTTGAACAGTGCTCACCCAGACAAAACACCTTTCCACATTCTTGCCCCGTGCCTGAAGCTCGCTGTGGACTCCTGACTCATGTTCTCATGCTTTCTTTGCAGACTCCTTGGCTGCTGCTAATTACTGAAAGAAAAACTGCGCTCGAGGGCATTAGCTGTCGAGATCTTTAAATGTATTTCCCGTTTCAGTAAATCAGCTACTTTAAGATCTCCTTCAAAAATAAAAACTTCCATGGCTTGTAATTAAAACATTATCAATATTTATTAATATTGAGCACGGACAGCGGCTGAGCCCGGCGGGGTCAGAGCGAAGGCTGCCCCAGGCCTGGCTTCACCCGGGGCTCTGGGGCCGACCCGCACCTCGTCCAGTCACTCGCCTCCCCTCCCTCTCCCCGGCACGTCTGCCTGGCTCGACAGCACAGCCTGCCTACCCAGCAGGTTAGTGGTGAACTACTCCCCCCAGAAGCAATCCCCTCTGGATCCATTTTCTTCCCCCTGTCCCCCCCCCTCATTTTTTTTTTTTTTTTTTTTTTACTTTTTTTCCATTTCCCTGCACTGGCACACTGGCCAGGCCCAAACCTGTCCTCAAACATTTATATTTCCTCCAGCTAGTTCACTGCTAGCAGGTGCTCCCAGCGCTTCTAGGTGGCACGACTGAGATTAAATGCAGCTAAAACACCAGATAAATTTAAGAGGGGAGCAGGGACTTCCCTGACTTTTCTGTCAGAGGGCACTGGGCCTAGGTGTCTAACTGCGGGCTAGCAGGCATTTCCTTTAGCTTTATGAGTCAATTTAGGTTAAGGTAGAGACTGCTCTCTTTTTATTTAAAGCATTACCTCTGCTCAGCCTCTCGTTTCTGATTGCTGAAAAGGAACAGGCGCTCTGCTGAAGCAAATTCAACACTCAAACCAGGTTAGGAGCGAGCATGTAGTTGAAGAGGAAGGGTGCTGCTTTTCTCTTAGGTTAATATACAATTAAGCTAACAAGCTGCCTTACGTGAAGGAAATGGGCAGAACAGACAAAAGAGGAGAAATATTCTTGGGAGGAGTAAGTACTGGGTCAGTTCCCCGACAACTGCAGGTTCCTGTTAAAGCAATGGCTCCTTCCATCAGGTGAAAAATGACTACGGAAAGAATCTACCTCCAAAAATTCCTGGTGGGTGCTGCCAGTTCCGCAACCCCAAATTAAGCTCCCAGAGTAGTGCGGGTACCATCCTAACCATGTGTGAGAAGGAAGAGGCTGTGAGAGCAGAGGGGGAAGTAAGCGTTTCCGTACAGCCACACCACTGGGACTGTACACAGAAAGAGCTGAGTAGGTGGTATCCATCTATTTCAGTTTATGTATCTGCAAATATTTACCTTTACTGCAGCTAAAAACCTGTCCAAAAGGCTGATGGCCAGGGCGAGCGTTTCTGGATAAAGGTGGAACTGGTATTTGAGCTTGGCCAGCCACTGAATGACCTCATCCCTCTGCTTTGGAGAAATGGCTACATCCTGTTGGAGAGAAAAACAAACTATTCTTATACACAGGCTGAGCAAGTCAGAGAAGACCAAACATTTTACCTCCACTGGAGTTACTCAGCATGGAAACAAAGGCTCCTTTGGAAAGGGGGGGCCCCGAGCCAGCCTGAATCACTGCTTTGTTCTTCCAGCTACTTACCCCATCCCAAGAACTCAGTCTTGGAAAAGACAACTGTCCTTACAGCAACCTCAAACATCACTCAAATTTCACTGTATGGGGTGGGGGGTGGGGGGGTGGGGGGGAGCTGGGGAAGAGGAAGGATGCCTTGCAGTTTCTTAAGTACTGACAGGGTATTCGCTGGTTTGGCTCTAAGAGATTTTGATATTTTTTTTTAACCTTGGAGGTAGAGAGAAATGCCCACCTTGGCTAAAACCAGAGATGCTATGGGAGCCAGGCGCGTGCTCAGCTCCTGACAAACAAAACAGGGGAGGGACCGAGTTGATGTTGTGAGAGGAAAGGTTCATTTTTCCTTCAAATGATGGGGATATTTTTAGCTCAGTATATGTTAAAAAAAGAAAATTCCAAACAGCCTACAAAAGCCTTTTAGCAGTACAGTTAGCTGTAAACTGGAGTAAAGCAGGTACAATTTCACCATAAAAAGTTGGGGTTTGTTGTTTTTTGTTTTGTTTTTTTTTTTTCTTTGTTTTTTGTTTGTTTGTTTTTTTGTTTTTTTGTTTTTTTATATATTTTTGGCCCAAGTTGCCCCTGTTGATGTGTTCGGACAATAGCTGAATTTCGACCACACCTACAGATCAGTCGTTGACATAAAATCTTCTTCTGTAACATTCTTCAGCACTATTTAAAGCTTTTCTAGAGCCTTTCTATTCACCCCAGTAACTGTCTGGCCTCACTTCAGCGGGGATTATTCATGGTGATTAGAGAGGCTGCGTCCTGAAGTGGGAAGTGAAACCAAACACATTTCTTCTGCTATGATCAGGGTCCTTCTCTTTTGGCTATGGCTGAGATGGTTTAAGAGAAAGAAACGAATGAAATCCTGGCTGACCTGTTACTGTGTGAAAGCAAGCTAAGCATTTGCGTAAGCAAACATCACCGGTGGGCTGGGTTGTAGCTGTCCTCCCAACAGTAACACGGGGAGAGGAAAAGTAGCAGAATTGGCAAATAAAAATACCCACCATCAATGCAAAATAAGTACTTGGGGCTACATCTATCACCCAAGTAGCTACTGCCTGCCTTCCGTACACGGTAACGTGCTTTCTTAGAGCTCTGCTGCCTGTCCTGCCTCGGAGTCAAGAACGTGTGTGAAAAGCAGAGCGTTGTAGGCAGAGCTGTAATTACACCGGGGTTCCCACGAGGACACCAACTTCACACCTCTCGCTGTTACTTGCAGTATGACGTCTTTGTGCTTAACTCTCTCCCCGGTGCCGAGCTCCACCTTCCCCGCCGAGGGGGACGGGAGTGGCAGGGAAGGTGGCAGAGCTCGAGCCCCAGAGCTGAATTCCGGGCTGCGTGGCCGCCAAAATGCAGCCGCTCCCCCTCCCTCAGAAGAAGTACAGCAGTCCTGGAGCTGCTGTGGCAGGGATGGGCTCTAAAGACACGGGGTTGTGCAATCCAGAGCCGTCGGTGCCAGCTGTACGAGCTGGGCTGATAAAGTGATACTACCTCTGCCCGCACCAGGTGCCTCCAGCGCTCTAGCAGGTGCTGCCCCCAGCAGAACACAGCCCTGCCTCCTTCTCTCTCTCTCCCGAAGCCGCCCCGGTGCAGCAGCGTCAGCAGGACCGGCTCTGATCCAGACACACCTCTGGCCGCCACTTGATTATAGCGTGGCTTTTTAAAAAGCCCCTACCGTTTTTCTGGAGAGAAGAGAAAGTTAATTTTCTCAATTCTAAGAAATAAGGATTCTGTCGAAAATCGTTATTGCAATTTAAGGGTGAAATCCGAGCCCCACCAGGGGCAGGACAGCCGGTGCCTGCAACGCCTTGCACTCCTTCCAGAAACGCTAGTTTGACACGCACCGGGAGTATAATGAATGCACCCCACAGCAGCAACGAGTTTTATTAAATGCTCTGCTAAAAACATCTTTTGGACAGTGGGATAGGGACCTAGAGAACGGGGAGAAAAAAGAGAAAGGCTGTGTTAAACAGTGGCTGTTCTTAATAGAGCATACTTCTGCAGCAAAGCGAGGCCGGCACAGCTGAACCTAAAACAGGCAGAAAAGGGAGGAGCGATAGCTAAGATGAAGTTCCTTACTGCTTTATTAATTGTGCCTGGTTTTACATGGAAGGAGACAAAGCCATACAAAAGGGCTTATAACCACAGCCAGGCTGGGACGATATTGTGGACTTAAAAGGTTTCAAGCAGCGTAATTCTGGAAACGCAGCCCCTGGGTGAAGCCAGCAGATAAGCTCTGTGTCTACCCGCTGACAGCCAGCCTGAAACCACTCCATCCAACCAAATCAGTTTGACTTTAAAAACCTGCCCCTGCCTCTGCCATCACCGCCCCGGCCCTGCCGCCGCAGCGTTACGGGGAAGCCGGCGAGGGGGAGGCCGCGTGCTCAGGGCACCAGCCCCCGTCTCCTCCCCGCCGCAGCCCCTCGGCTGCTCTGGAGGAGGGGGGTGACAACGGCACCTCTCCCGCTCCTTGCTGGGGGGGCAGGGCCCTGCCTCAGTGCCACGGGGGGGGATTTTCCCCATCCCCTCCTGTTCTTGGCACACCCCTCCTGGCGCTGCCTGTCCCGGGCCTGCCCAAGCGGAAGGTTAGGCCTTCTCCTAAAACCGGCGTGGGTGGGAAGGGTAACGGCGTCTTTCCACGCTGCCTCTCAGTGTTCAGCCCTCCCAAGATCTGTCCTCGTCTCTTCTCACCCTTCCTGGGCATCCCCAGGCCAAAAGGCAGAATTTCAGCCTCGGGAGTTAGCTTTAAACGGCAAGGCTGTAACACAGAGAACAGCAACAAAAGGAGCACAAGGGCCGGGGGGGAGAGTTCCCTGCCACCGAAAGCCGAGGTGCATTTCGGCTGCCCCCCCATCAGCACTGGGAAAGTTCCTCGGTGCGAGCCGGGCAGCGGGAATGAGAGCGGCTCCCACCGCACCCAGGAACCCCACTGCTGCTGCCAGGCAGGGCGAGGAGCTTCCCGCTCGGCGCTCTCCCGCCAAGGTGTACCCGTCTCACCGCAGCAGCACGAGTAAGGAATGCAGCGCGGTAGAATTTTAAGCAGCGAGGTCACTGTTCCTTAGTCCCGGTAAAATTAAAAGCAAAAATGAGGCGCTACGGTGGCTGAAAGTAAAAATGTCCCCGTGGGCTGGAAAGCAGAGGTTCCTCTTTGGTGCGGCGGTGCTTTCCTGGGGGCTGCGTCACCTGCTGCCGCTCGCCGTGTCTGCGTGTGGCCAGCTCTTTGTCCTGTTGCCACAAATCCACCCGCTGCAGAACTTAACCCCCAGGGTGGAAGAGCACACTAGCCTAGCATAACGGCTTTAATTAGGGAAAATTAACCCAAGCCCGGCAACGGCAGATTCCACTTTCACAGAGCAGCAGCAGGTTGCTCTGAGACAGACCTACCAACCACCCTCGGGACTCAAGGACAATCCACTTCCTCCGGCTGGTGCTTCTCCCCCCCAGCTTTTTTTTTTTTTTTTTTTTTTAAATTTTTGGAGGGGAGGCCAGATCAGCGCAAGGCCTGACCCACCGATCGGGCTGCCTGTCCCAGCACCAAAGGTTAGCAGACGTGCCGCCACGACCCCTGCCACCAGAAAAGCGACGGCACTCCCAGCTCTTCGGCACAACCGCCCGAGCGAGCCGCAGCCCCGCGTGCCGCTGCGGGTGTTACCTGCCCCCTTCACACCCGTTTGCTTGCAGCTATTTCTTCGTCTGCCCTGAGCCTGGCTGACAGGGGAACGTGTCAGTGCTCCTCCAGAGCTCAGGATCAACCACTCCTCCCTCTCCAGCCTGCTTAGTCCTGCTCGGCACCTCCGTAAAATAAGGGAAGAGGTTTCTGCATCTCTTCTCCCGTCCTCCGCCCACGGAGCGCACGAATTCCTCCATCCCTCGGGAGGCCGGTGGGAGCAGTGGGCCCTCGGCAAGCCCTGCTGGCACCAGCTCGACACAGGACACCCGAGGGACGCGATGCGAACCCCCAGCTTTTTCAGAGCACAACGGTGGGTGTAAGCCCATCGGTTTTGTTTCAGCACGAACGCAAATAAGGAACTTGTAGGAACTATGGAGCTAAAAGAATGTGTTTGGGACACAAATGGGGAAGCAGAGGGACATCACCTTCTCTCTCTTCCTTATGTAAAGCAGGTGGTTCATCACCTTGACTTGCTTCCTGCCATTATCTGCTCAATTCCTTATCAAGCAACATCCTGTCTGTCACTTACTCTACCGGTGAGCGTGCTGTCAGTGAACAGGAAGCTTCCTGACAGCTATTTTAAATAGCACAACACGAGGCCAGTCAACACAATGGCCCCGGGGGGTGACTATGCCAAATAACGGCACCGCGTCTCTCGTTCTACCATACCGAAGCGAGCAACTGCAGAGGTCAGTAATTCTGCCCCAGGGAGGGGCTGCAGTGTCCCCATATGAAACACACGGCCCCAAGCCCCGCCGCCTCCACCGTGGTTAGTACCTTGTTTGTCCAGCTCCCAAACCAGAGCCCCAAACGCCATTTCTTAGGCGTTCTGCCAGCAAGCTGCCTGTGAGGCCGTGGTGCTGGGGAGGGGCACGCAGAGCTGTTGCTGTGCTTCTCGCCTCCCGAGAGCTGAACCACGTTCCCTGTCCCGGGAACCCTGCCGCAGGGCCCGCTGCACGCTCGCTGCCCAAGACCTGACTCAGGCTCCAGAGTCTCCTCTAACAATACCTTGAGGCCTTCAGAAAATGCAGTCTAAAAAAAAAAAATATCCGTGAACTCAAACGTGACTCAATTTTATTGCTGCCTAATCTAGGAAAAACACCTTAACTGATATTTTTTTTTTTCTTTAATGTCTGCTGTCCCAGGCAGAGATGTTTTGCTTTTTCCCCTATTTGTTTCTGCCCAGTCCTGCTGTGGGCTCCTTGGGGAGCAAGCAGGTGACCTTTAACAAGACTTTATGACGAGGACTTTATCTGAGAAGGGCAGCTGTAAACACCGCAGCCGAATCAGTCCTTCCTTGGGTCTCAGGAGGGCTTGTTTTATGCCAGAGCAACCCCCAACTGATGCCCACTGGGTCGCTTCTCACTTGCAGCAGTTGGGAATGAGAGGTGCTCTCCTGATACCCTGCAGAAGTGGCGTTTTGCAGGGTTTGCCTAAGGTTTAGTGGCGCGGCAAAGAGCTCAAGCAGCACAGCCTCTGCCATCTGCACACTAACGTGCACAAACACTGGGCAGAGAGATTACTGCTCGGCAAAGCAGAAGAGCTGGAGGCATTAACCTCGCAGTGTTTTACAAAATTGGTAAGTCGGTCTCCGACTCGCCCGCAGGATGAAACAGAAGGTTAAAGGGCTGCCCCAAGGTCATGCAGTGAGACAGGGGAAAACCTGGAAATAAGCTGAGGTCTCCTGATTCTTCAGCAGTTACAGAGAACAAATGAGAAGACAGAAAGAAAGAGCCAGAACAGGCAAGAGAGGAGAAATGACAGAAGTGACACTCTGTTTCTACTAAAAACAAAAAAAAAATACCTTGGCTTACCGCTCTGCTGCAAAGTTACTTGGTAACGTACAAAAATCAACCTTTGACCAGTCTTTACTGCTTGATTTCTCAAGCCTTAATCACATGAAAACTCCTGAATGTCATCTGTGTATTGTATAACCCAAGAGTGGAAAAAACCCAAAAGAATTAAAAAAAAGACCAAATACATTCAGAAGCACTAGGAGGGTTCCAAACTCAGCCCACCTATTTTTTCAGGCTGAAAGGCCCTTGTGAGATCTGGCTTTGATATGTTGCAAATACCACGAGCCAGTGGCCTACATTTAAAGAAGGGAAACTAAAAGACATATACATGCCAGTAGGAAATGGGAGTTTTCAGACAAAAAGTAAAAATGAAACAGAAAAATCACAGACATTAAATTATCAGGACCAAAGTCCCCAACAGATTCTGCATCCTGTACTAAAAAGGTGAAGTCTTCCTGTTTCTGTAATTATTAGTTTCTTTCTTCCTTTCAAAGATCTCAACTCTGACATATTTAGAAACGGAATTTGTTCTGGTTTTAAACATTAGAATCAAAAACGTCTCCGAAAGAGTCAACACTGAAAGTTTACTCCTGAAAAATAGTTACACTGTACCTCCAATCTGATCATTAGAGCTTTGTAGACGTGCTCCCATTTTCTCATTTGCAAACCAGATGACTTTGTTAAAACCCCTCCTGTAGTCAGTCTACCTCTGTAGCGAGGAATGGAAAGTTACACAGGCTTCCAGTTGCCAGATCTGATAGACAGACGGATGCAGATTTCCTGACTGTCCTGGGGAATAAACAACAGTTTCACAGAAGTGAGGTTTTAGGCTACTGCAGCTGTTTTCAGGAGAAGGCAGTAGATGTTAGGGAATAAGACCGTTTTCTAGATATCACAGAAAATTGGATAATTGACACCGAGCGTCCGTGACTGCAACATTGACAAAACGAACGCTGCAGAAGTGGAAGAACATGTGACAGCTTGAAAAACTGGGTGTCACAAACTGTAGGAACAGAAATACGTGACTACAGATAGAGGGTTTTCAGCTGCACCATGGCGTTGTAAGTCAGGATTTCCCCAGAGCAGACAGCTGTGTTTATGTTCTGTTTTAAATCTGACCTTTGTACATTTTACACACACGCACACAGAGATTTCAATCCAATTTAATCATTATTTACTGCTAGAAAACATTTAATAGTATGGCATTCTAGCTGATAAAGTCAATGTCAGAACGGACACGTAGGAAAACAAAAAGGTTACAAAGAGAACAGAGTTTTGGGGGTGGAAATTCCAGAGTAGAAACCCTAGGGGACAAGCACAGAGGGCCAGGGAACACTCCCAAGCACGGACTGCAGTGACACTGTCGAAGCGCAGGGGAGGAGCGGGGGGAAGAGATCCTTCATCATCATGACGTAATTGCACACTAAAAGGACAAACTTGGTATTTGTCCAGGCCAGACCCGAGGCTCTGCTATCGGGCACAAACTTTACTTTGGCTTTAGTCATCGGGCTGTCTCCACACTCAATCCTACCCTGCTTTCTCACAGCAGGCAGCAGAGCTGCCTCCCCGGTTTCATATTCGGCACCCCGTCAGAAGTCCCGTTAGCTTCTCCAAGTATTTACCGCCGAGGACAACGCTTCGTGAGCTGCTACAAACCCCAGCCGCAGCGACACGGAGGCCCCTCACAGTCCCTGGCAGCAGGACAGCTGCTCTTCACCGCCAGCAGGGCTGAGGTTAGCACCTCTGCTGCAGCCACCACTCGAACGTGGCACAAGGTGGGGAACCTCATCTTCAAAGGGCATCAACGCCATCCTGCCAGGGAGGGATTGCTAGGAAGACTGTCCAATGGAGGCGGTGGCTTCTGCGCCACCAGGAACGACTTCACCCAGGGGAAAATGCAAGCGCCTTGTTGCTGTGGAATCCGCACGCAAGAATCTGGTTCGGTTACACTCCGAGTCCCCAGCCTATCTTGTTATCCTGTAATCCCATCTCCCTACATTATAATCACTAGCCCCAGGAATACTGCCAGCACTGAATAAGAGGCTGGTTTACCATAAACCAGGGTCTTAAGTTATATGTGCCCCAAAAATGCCACAGCTACAATATACGCCACACCTCTGACAACCAGGTCACTTACTTACTTGGAAGCTTAAATGTGCATTAACAAAACTAATACTGAGCCCCTTCAAAACGTTGTTTGTTCCTTGTCGTGGTTTAACCCCACAACAACAGCAGCGTCTTGTTCACCAGACAGAAAAAACAAACACCACAGTGATTAGCTTTGACAACAGCTGGCATACGTGCGTGAACGTTTTATACGAATCCTGAACAGCAAGACTGGCTCTGAGCCCATTAGTGTGGTTATTCCTGCCCAACCCAGCGACAAAGTACCAGAAACTCTACAACAACCGTCCTCATGTTTCACGTTTTGTTTTAAACAAAACTTGGTGGAGTTCACAGGCGGTTTTGAGCGCACATGCTAGACAGACGCCTCCTCCACAAGGAGCACAAACCCAATTCAGGCTGTGAGCGACCTGCTCCAACCTCCCAGCTGGCCCCACTGCAAAACTTGAGCACGAGGTCGGACTACGGACCTCCGGGGGTCCCTTCCACCCTGAATTTTCCTCCAGTGCTATGAGAACATTCCTCACTGGAACAGGCCAGCGCCTGGCTCTGCTTCCCTTGACCCGAGCTTGCACCCTGCTTCATTAATAGTCCTAGTCCAGTCAGCGGTGTTCTTCCCCAAGTAGACAGAGCCTTATCAAGTCAGATCCTCATCTGACTTCAGCCAACACAGCTACTACAGCCTACCCTGCAGAACTAGGCTGATTTACACCAGGGAAGAATCCGGCTCAGAATGGGAAAAGGCGACAAAGCCAGGCGTTCGCCGTGAATACGCCGTTTCAGCGGGAGGCCTGGGCTAAGCCAGCAGTAACGGCTCAAGTGAGCAGACATCGTTTCACGTGGAAAGCAACCGACATTTCCACGCTGTTATTAGTGAACTTAGTCCCAGAAAATGAAGCTGTTTTTAAGAACTGTTGCAGAGTTGGTGCCCACTAGAAATTGTCCACGCAATTTGTTAAATTAATTTAATTAAGGCAATATATGTACGTGCTTTCACAAGCAACAGCAGAGATCCAACACTGTATGCTGTCGCTTGTGTGTTCTGTACCCCTGCTTGCAGGGATGTCCCTCAAATAAAAAAGTAACCACTTACTTCAGAGGCTAATTTCCCAGGTCTCAAGCAGAAGGTAACTCCTCATGCAACAGCTTCGGTTGTTCACATAAAAATACACCAGAGGATACTCTCACGCCTTTACTAAGATGAGTGATGTGAAGAAGAGACGTTACCTGATTGGGCTGAATTTTCAGCACATGTGCTTTCCACATTTGAGCTTCCCTAGAGATTGCCGTCTCAAGAAGGAGGGACAACCTCTGGCTCTCCAGGGGTCCTGAAAACTTCATGGTAACCCTTGGATCCACCTGCCACCCAGCTGGATACAGCTACCTGCAAAACCAAAGACAGCCTGGTGAAATACTGAGCCACCCCTGTCAGCGAACTGAGCAAAAGAGAGCACAAAGGTGACTGAAGCTGCAAAAACCAGAAGAGACTCATCTGTAACACACAGGGATCGGCTACTTGGCAAACCTACGCGAGGAAACCCAAACCAGTCGGCTCAGATTCAGATGAAGCTGGGCCAAAATCGTCCACAGGTCTCCAACACCTACGTGGGCTGGAGAGTCCTGCCACTTGTGAGGTTTTCCGCCTCTGTTATGTAGGCAGTCAGGCAAGACCTCTCCCACTTCAGCAGGGCTAACACATAGGGGTGTTTTAGGAAAAATCCTGGAGAAAAGGGAGGAGTTACACAGCAAATATAAAGGGGATTTCAGTAAGTCGGTTGCCCCGGCCCAAAGCTTCCTGAAGTCAAAAACCAGTCTATCTGTGACTTCAGGGGAAGTTAAAACTGACATACAAACGTTTTTCAAAAATCCCAGCCTCGGAGTCCGGTTCGTGCCAGCCTTACCCCAGTACTCTCTGCAGCAACAGGAAGTTCTGTGCAAAACAGAGGAACGCTTGTTTGAGAATTTGAATGATTTACAGGCTGAAGCCCAACAAAAAGATCAATGTTTTCTCTCTCTGCACAGTATTGTTAGTACCTTCCCACAGGAGCTGCGACCTGTTTCATGTGCAATGCAAACGTACCAGGGAGTTCAGGAACATTCCTCTAGAGTCTGATCGCTCTGAAAATACATTAGACCTGCAAAACTTTAGGGCACATCTCTAATTTTAGAGATTTAGGAAACGTATTTTAAGGGAGGTAGAAAGTGGCAAACCCAGTGTCAGCCTCTGCAAAGCACGAGTTGACTACAAGCCAGGTAAGTGACGGAGAAAATTTCTGCAAGGCCTGCAGTATTCAGAAACACCTGCTCCCACTGGCAGAAGCGATGATAAAAGTCACATAATTTAAAGCAAACCACTTTGCTATACACAAAACAGAAAAAAGGGGTTCTCCTGGCCCTACCGCAGCCTCACTCAGCAGTAACAATGTGTCAAGAAACTTGTAAATTTGAAATGAAAAACAAAGCACAGGCAAGATTCTTTTTATTTATTTTAAAGACAACAGATTCTACCATCTGCTTTCAAATTTAGAAGATGATCTGATTGAAGAGGTTATTCAAATTGTTCCACTGCTGCCTACCATTACACTGGCCGCAAATTTCTTGACAGTATTAAATCACTTAGGCAAAATAATTCAGCCCTGAAGGGTAAATCCATGGGAAAGTTATTTAAACTTTCAATTCCTTCTGCGAGCTGTTGTGAAATCTGCAACAGGTGGATACCAGCCAAACGCTAACCAGGCTATTTTATAAAGACCAGTTTGTTAATACAACAGCTTATACTGTATTTACAGGAAATAAGGCAACATGCCGAATCAGAAAAAAATAAACAAATTTCACGGCAAAACCAAGCAGTTTATTAAAAATAGTAACAACAGCAGCTCTGAACAAATGAAGCTTCAGAGTGCTTTCTGGGAGTTAAGGGGAACTGCAGAACAAATATTTTTCTTTATCAATTTACGGAAGATTTTAATGGGCACAATTCACACAGAACCTGCACGAGGAATAAAACCGCACTCAAGTCCCACTTACAGCCAAGCAGGTTTTAACTGGCAAATAAACGACAAGCCTCTCAGTCCTGAACAGAAACTCCTTTTATATTAGATTTTTATAAAACAAATGCTTCTCCATGAACAAAGGAGAGGCTGTACTGGCCTGGCATACCCCTGCACAAGGTTTCCAGCCGGTCACTGTAACGACCCAAGGTGACTGGGGCCATGTACAGATTTTCTGGCTGGAGGGAACACCTTGGATCCAGGATTGCTGAATGGGCCCAAAATCACTTTCCAACAGCCCCCAAATGGCTCACTGAGTATCTCTGTGGAGTGAAAAATCCCTATTAAAGACTCAGCACTTGACAAGAGGGAGACTCTGCCTGGGAGGAGGTGAAACCACGTTCCTCTAAACAGAACTGTGGCTTAAACCACACCTTGCTGATGTGAGCTGCCTCAATTTTTGCATTTCTTTTTTAAACCTCATGGTAACCCTGGGACACTCATACCACTGTAAACCGGGATGCCAGTGAAGCTGAAGGGGAAACAGGGATGCACATTTACCGCCTCCCTGCTCCAAGCTCATTCCCTCGGGGGGGCTTCATTAGCATCTCATTAGCATCTCATCAGGCACTACAGGTTTCCATGTGGGCTGGGCTGGTTTCCCAAAGGCCGGATCACCCACCATTTCCAGAGCTGTCAGTGCTTCCAAAGGAAGCATAACGCCCTGGGAAATGAGGACAGCAGCAAGGAGGGCTGCACCACCGCACCGATGGGCAAAAGCAGTTCAAATTGCAGGTGAAATATTCTGTCCCCTCCAATGTGCACGGGGGACCAGACAGGGCTTGAGCTGGGGAACCCCAGCATCGGGGAGTGCAGCCTTCCCACCTTGCAACTCAAGAGCCCCAGGAAAGGGCTTTCTCCAGGCCTGCGCAGAGCAAAGGATGGGTGATTTTATTTTATTTTTATTTAGCTGAGCCTGCAGATTGTCAATTGCTACATACCAAGTAACGCTAACCGGGTAACCTCCAACAGGGTATCAGCTACAGTCTCCCAGACCACACCTGGAGAAGACGGCGATTCAAGGCGTGGGCCAACGCTCAGCGTTGCACAAGGTGAAACACATGCGTGGGGAGAAGCAGCGAGGGTAGGACCAGCTGCAAAGCTCGGCCAAGCCACCCGAGGGGCCAGAGCCCGGGACCAGAGCTGAGCACCGAGAGCCGGGAGGCAGCGAGCTCCTTGCTGCACGCTTGTCAGAGATAAGCAGTAGCTATATTTAGCCCAACCACGTCTCCTAATATGAAATACTGATGGTCCTTTCTTGGTTTTGCAGGAAAGAGAGGATCATTAGCCACTCTTCAAGTCAATGGAGAAAACACATGAAAAATTTCAGGCCAAAGTGAGCATCCTCAGGCACCTTTTTTCTTCTGCTGTGACTGGCAAAACATTCCCACCCTATTTATATCACTAGTGTGTTTTGCAGGCCTCTGGGCCTACAAAAGATCTTTTAGTTACCCTGATCCCTTTTTAGGTTGTCCGTGTACTGCCTGGACTGGTCAGAGACCCCAGCAGAGAGCTCAGGGGCGTCCCTGGAGCACCCTTAAACACCAGTGGCCCTGCAAGGGACATTTTTAGTGAGCAGTGATGGCAACTCTTTTTGAGTTGCCAAGGGGAAAAGAGAGGGAAAAATAACCTTTCCTTTCTGAACTAGGGAGGTAATTCAATGAGGGCTGAGGCACAACAACCTTTATAAGGAAAAAAAGAAAGAGGAATGACACGCTTGAAAGTTTCCCTTGGAGCAACAGTGGTGCACAGACTTTTCCAGCACTGAGAGCACGCCAGGCAACTCGCCAAGCACCCCGAGGGCTGAAATGAGTTTGCATCTAAATTTACATAGCTCTTAATCAGATAAATGCACGCCATTTTAAAAAAATGCCAGCATGCTCTACATGTATGGAGCACTCCACAAAACACGAGGGAGACACAGCAGAGAGAGGATGAGAAACAGGGTGGCCAGCACAGCTTCCCAAAATCCAGCGCACAGAAGGCGGCGAAGACCACGGAGGGACCGGACTCTCTGCTCAGCTCAAGATGACAAAACCTGAGCATTGCAGGGAAGTGACATCAAGGCTCCCGTCAGCAGTAAAGATACTTGTCAGTGTAGCAGGCACCTCTGCAGGGAACAGCAGAATCATCAGGAGAGCTTAGCATGCCCTGGCAGCAAAGATCTGCTCCAGCCAAAAACTTACACGTATATTTCTGCAACCGAGCCCGAGACCCACGGCTGGAGGAACTGCCAAAGCTGTGACAGTCACCATAAACTAACTCACCCTAGCTTTCTGCTTCTGTTTCCCTGATTTAAAATGAAACTTAGCTCCAGGGTGGTGTTTTGGGGGTTGGGTTTTTTCTTTTTTTCCTCCACCATGATCACTTTGGGAGTTTTTAAACCACCGTTCAAACAGTTCCTAAAGTTTCTTAATCTTTACTGGAAGGTCAACTGGCTGCACTGAAACTTCTTAAAGAACAGTTGAAAAGTTAGTAAAAGAGAAGTGAGACAAGTCAACGCATTGCCTTTGTTTTGACATCTCCTTTGAGCAAGGTCACAAGCTTCAGGTTGAATCTTGCTCTGAAATTAGAGAGGCAAAACTTTGGTGTGAGGTTTTCACTTGTAAGAGGCATTAAAAATCACCTGCTTATCCATTAAAAATACCCTGAACTGGCCCATAAAATGTAACCCATCTCATAAAGATCTCTCTTTTTGATCTAAGTTTATAGCTGACTTTACTTAAAGAGAGACTTTCTGTTTCCCTAGAGAAGTTTTAGGCTGTTAAGTGCTGCAGGCTATGGTTTTCAAAAGAAGTTTCGTGTTTGCAGTAATTGGGGCAGACAGCTACCTAGCCAGAAACACTTTCTGGTTTGGAGGGGTGTGCGCTTTTGTAGGATGCAAAATAATATATGATTTTTTTTTTTTTTTTTAGGCTTTGTGATCACTTGCACTGACAATAAGAAGTGCCTCCTGCAGACAAAAGATGCAGTTACAGGAAAGTATTATATCCACTGGCAGAAGCAGCTCACAGCACAGTTCCTGAGTTTCCCCTGCCTCCAGTTGCAATGCAGCTGTGCCTGTACAACTGCACTGTAAATAGGATCACTGAAATCATTCAGGGCAATAATAAAAACCTCTTTTGTTTTGGTTGTGGGTTGTTTTTTTGGTGTTTTGGTTGTTGTTTTGTTTTTGTTTTTGTTTTTTTTTAAATATAGATCACTTCATAAACAATTAGCAACATTTCTAGGACTAGAGACAGTCTAAAAGCTGCTATCTTTATATTGTGCATAAATCCAGGTGGGTATTCTGGACAAGAGGGATAATGCCAAAAGAGCTTAACCACCACAGGCA